TTATTTTACAGATAAATACAGTATCCCTTTTCTATCTAGAAATTACAAATATTTCTGTCTCCACAGTGCCTACCTAAATTGAAATTGAAAATCATTAGAAAAAATATCATATATTAAAGGAATGCATTTTTTATTAAATCATGTCTGAAATTTATCCGAAAGGATTGATTTAATTCATATTTTTGTATTTTCTCTTATGATTAAGAGATTAAGAAATTTAAAATTTAATTTTGAAATCTAATGATAGACATATTTAGATAAGTGAATACAAATCAAACAGTCATTTTTTAATAATTTGTAATTAGGAAATTGAGAAAGCATGGAAGATGGTTGATGCGGCCCATGAGAAGGAAACTCGTGCACGTGAAACAATTCAATCACTGAAGCTTGAGATTGCCAACCTTAGCAAATTGGTGGAACAAGGTGCTGGTCTGACTATGGGTCAAGAACATAGGTATGTTTGATCATCCTTTGATTTTATGGTACAGGACTCCCTCTGTCCTTTGGGGAACCGTAACTGTACCTTTTAGAAAGGGGATTGATTTTTACGCCATTATCCCTTTTAGGGGAAAATTTATTAAGGCAATTTTGTTGTATATATTATACAAGAGTGAGAGTACTCCTGTCAATAATCAAAGAACATGAAGTAAATTTCCATTTAAGCTTCTCTTGATATTTGCAGATAAAGGGAGATAAAATAAGGAGCGGATTTATTTTTGAAATAGTGGAATATACATGTATATACTTTTTCAAAGGTGGGGGAAGTTGGTGCCAAATTTGGCACTAAATTTCCTGAATTGAGGGCACTGTGATCTAGAAGAATTGAAGGTTTATAGAACACAAGTATTTTTGTTTGAATGGCCCCAACAAAATATATTATGTAATTTCAATATACTTGTTTGACATTTAGATTTTAAATTTATGTTTATATTAATTGACATTGCTCTTCTTAGCAATTGATTATTAGCTCATTTGCCAAAATGATTTGAGCCGCGTCATGACAAAACCAACATAATGGGTTTGTGACCAGCATGGATCCAGACCAGCCTGCGCCTCTGCCCAGTCTGATCAGGATCCATGCTGTTCGCTTACAAACCCTATAACAAGTAGAGAAACTGATAGCAAACAGCATGGATCCTGATCAGACTGCGCGTAGGCGCAGGCTGGTCTTGGTCAATGCTGGTTGTAAACCCATTATGTTGATTTTGTCATGGCGTGGCTCAACTTTAGTTCATTATGTAATAAATGTTTTCTTAAATTTCAGTGTAAATGAATTACTGAAGATAAAGGAAGATCTTACAAAGGAAAGAGATGAGAGTCTTCAAGAAATTGTCAAGTTACGTGAACAACTTGCTCAGTCTAACTCCACCCAGCAACATCTTGAGGAGCAGAAAAATGAAGCAGAGGAAAAAATACAAGAGGTGCAGTAATAGATTCTATAGTAAAAATATCCATATAAGATATTAAGTAAGCTAGCTCAGAAAATTGTTTATGTAATGTTCTTGTGATATATAACATATAGATATGCCTGAAGACTTGTTAATACAATTATCATCACTTATATTTCTTTGAATTAATTGTAGTTAAAAGATTAAAAAATTGCAGTGTCCTTTAAATTGATTTACATATTTAAGTCTTCACCTGCTATGACAAAAGGTGATTAGTCGTTGCCACCCCTATAGAGCCAGGCCAGATTTGGTCAGTCTGACCAGGCTCTAAACTATTAGTAGTGCAAATTTTGGCATTTTTAAATTGAAATCCCTTAATCTTTAAATGGACTGTACCAAATTCAAAGAAAGACAAATCCATTTCAAAAATTCAGCATTAGATAAAGGGTTAAAATAATCAAGATATTGTGCTTTCATTATGTATTTCCTTTCTTGAAGGATCAGTTTGATAAGAATTTCTTACAGTATTTGAGCCACATCATGACAAAACCAACATAATGGGTTTGCGACCAGCATGGATCCAGACCAGCCTGCCCATCCGTGCAGTCTGATCAGGATCCATGCTGTTCGCTTACCAACTCTATTACTGGTCGCAAACCCATTATGTAGGTTTTGTCATGATGCGGCTCATTTGTTATGTACAATGTTTTTACTGTAATTTAATAAACATTATGTCTATATTATATACACAGCTGACACAAGACATCCAGATGCGTAACAATGAGGCCCAGCGTGAGGCACGTAAACGTGACAAGATGGAGCGTGAGATGAAGCAGACCAAGGCCGACCTAGATGCCAAGTCTTCTGAAATCAAGACCATGCAGACACAAATACAGAGGCATAAGGAAGATATCAACAAACTAGAGCAACAACTCCGCGAGCAAAGGGTAAGCTGAACTTCCACAACTTGTTTGTGAAAAATTAAATTCCTCATTAATTGAATTTTATATGTCTATCAATTATAAGTTTAATATTTTAGTAAGAACTTTTGTAACACAATTCATAAGGGGATTGGATGCAGTATTCTTGTTCCTCAGTCATTAATCACTTGTAAATGTGACTTAAAACAATGACCCAATAAAAAAGTTGAATATTCATCACATTATTTTTATGTTACAGATCTTGAATGAGAGAGCCATAAAGGATGCTGACATCTTAAACACAAGGTTCCAGAAACTACAAGGTGACTTTGAACACCAGTTGATCTCTACAGATACACTGGCACAGGAAAACCAGGCCAGAGTCTCTGAGCTTAAGGTAAGCAACTTTCAATGTTAAAAAAAAATGATATGTTATTTTAAGTCAGACATATATCTTTTCATTTTTACCTGGTTAATTACATTTTTATGTTTTAGAAATAATAAAAAGCAAATCTAAATTCTATTAGTTATTAAAATGCAGGATTAGGGTGAAAATATTAAAATCAGTACATGCGATTTATCCATTTATTAAATAAATGCAAGGTAAATTTTATAATTTTGTATCTTACCTTGAAAAATTGTTAAAGCTGCCACACCTCTAGATAAGAATAAATATTTCGATAAAATCAAACCTGAAAAAAATGTACTAAGATTTAAGGAAAGGTATAAAGATTCAAAATTCTAGTAAATATTAATATGTTATGTGCGATTAATGACCAAATTTTTCAGTATGTATAACTTATAATATTTATAATGCGTTACTTAATGCAGTAAGGGCTATTTTTGCATATTTTGACCTCTTTATAGTAGGTTGTAAGTGCCATTGATAATGTGTAAATTGCATGCTTTTGGTTACTTTACAATATTATACTGTTAAATACATTTTTAAATTTTCATAAACATTAGCATGAATCTGTTGGTGTGCTGCTTAAAAGGAGTCTGATCAGGATCCATGCTGTTCGCTGTCGGTTTCTCTACTTGTTATAGGGTATGTAAGCGAACAGCATGGATTCTGATCAGACTGTGCGGATGCGCAGGCTGGTCTGGATCCATGCTGGTCGCAAACGCACTATGTTGTTTTTGTCATGACGCGGCTCATTTTATGAACATATGTTATTATAGGTGAAAGAAGATGAAGTGAGTCAGCTCAAGAGCGAGACTCAGCGTCTCAACAAAACAAGGGAGACAATTCAGCGTAAACTGCGACAGGTTGAGGATAGCAAAGCTGAACTGGAGTTCCAGCGTGAAACCTATAAAGGACAGATTCTGGGTCTTGAAAGAGGTAAACACTTGAATTTTGATTATTACTGAGTGTACGAAAGTTTTTACAGGTTTAATTATTAAATTTTTCTAGAATCTTACCTTAAAATTGGTCAGATCTGATGTTGTTGTTTTTCTCTGTCCTTTTTGACAGATTATAATCTGACACAAGTTGTCTTACTTGTTATAAAATCTGACATGAGTTGTCTTACTTACTTTAAATGTAAGGTCAGTTTCAAAATTTGAAACATATTTGTTGTATATTAATTTTTATTTGCAGAGTATTTAGAAATAATTTTTTCCCCAGTCTGATACATTTGCACTTCAATTCATAAGATTGTTTCTGATAGTATTGTACTCTACATATGATGCAGTGAGCAATATGGATTTTATCTCATTGATACCTTACCAGCATAAGCACTGTAATAATCAAATTTTCAGATCTTGCATTTTTACCATGTAAATATTTTTTTTGTATCACACAGAGCTTGAAGCATCCAAGAAACAGGCCGAGGCAGACAAGAAGCAGATAGATGGCCTCGTTCGTGAACGTGATCTGTTACACAAGGAAATGTTGAAGGCCGTGAGTGCCACAACGAAGCAGTTAAGTCTTGTGAAGTTACATGAACAGAGTAAGAAGAATCTGGAACAGGAGATACAGAATTACAAGGAGGAGGCTCAGAAACAGAGGAAGATTATCTACCAACTTGAGAAAGAAAGAGATAGATATATCAATGAAGCTAGTGATCTCACTCAGAAGGTTTGTCGTAGTTATATCTTAAGCTTATATAGCACTATATCAATCAGTAACCGTCTTTAAGCTCAATAGGTAGAGCGTTGGACTGTGAATTGGGCGACCCGGGTATGATTCCCGGACCATGCAGGTCACTTTCGTTGTGATTAATCATGAAATCTTTTCTATGGTCATTTGCACTGTACCTCTGCTCTGGTATGTACAGAAGCTTCAGTTTCTTGCGAAAGTGAAGGCAACTTAAGTACTCTGGTAAACTGCTTGACAGCCTGCCCTGAGGAATGATGCAGTGGCTGGGCTGTGCTCTAGTAAATTCAATGTGGCTTACTGCCGTAATCCTGAGTGAAAACTACCAATACCACCACTGTATCAATCACATTGGCATGATTAACTAGTATTGAATTGAGAGTGACATTTTTCATGCTACTTGGTAACGTCAGTATGCATAAATAAATTTGTTTTTAAAAATTAATGAATAAAAAAATTCTTTAATCTGTATTAGCATATTGAAAAAGTTTAGTTACATGAACCTTTTGTCGTAACTAAATTAAGAAATTTTATGCTGTTAAGAACTGAAAAGATTTTAAGAAGTCCACAAGTATTCCTTTTGAAGTCAGTCAAATGTAACATTAGTTTACTATATGTGTTGTTGTATCTCTCAAGGTTCTTCAACACATGGAGGATGTTAAGGTGAGAGAGATGCAGATTTTTGACTTCAAGAAGAAGATTGCCGAGTCAGAGACTAAATTGAAGCAACAGCAAAACTTGTACGAGGCTGTGAGAAGCGATCGTAATCTCTACAGTAAAAACTTGATTGAATCACAGGTAAAATATATTTTGATTCAACTCTCAGTATTCTTATGCCTTTGATACCAGTATTTCTCTTTATTTATATAATTTAATGAATTTGTACAGGATGCTGTCAAAGTATTATGTTATCCAAGTATTATCTTATTATTTCTGTAGCATAGATTTAAAGTAACCAGTAATTCATTATTTGCGTGACATGACAGCAAGCATGTAATCAATAAAATATATGCATTCATTTCTTATTGAAAAATTTGACTTTAAAGAAAATAAATTTCTAATTACCTCCCTTTATTAACACGAAAATGTAAATTCGGTAATATCTTTACAAATAGTGCTTTTTGGAACTTACAATATTGATAAATCTTCAGTTGAGCATTATATTTATGATATAAAACCATAAAAAAATTGTGATACAAGATCTTAATTTTTTTCTTTAAACAGTAAGGGCTCAGAAACATTGTGTTGTTTTTGTTTGCAGGATGAGATCACGGAGATGAAGAGGAAATTGAAGATCATGAATCATCAGATAGATCAGTTGAAGGAGGAGATTCAGGCCAAGGAGGCGGCCCTTGTAAAGGAACACCTTGAACATCAAAGGGTGGAGAAAGAGAAAGAAACTCTGAAGGCGGAGCTACAAAAAATGAAACAATTAGCTGGTAAGTGTTATTGAAAACAAGGGTTGATATCAGTACTTATATAATATTAACTTGTTTCTTTATGACGATATTGTGATTCAACCTAAACTTTTTAATTTAAAATTACAATAACAGATACCTTTTTTAACTTAGAATTACTATAAAAGATGTATTTTAACATAAAAGATATCTTTTAACTTAAAAATTACCAAAAATTACCATTAACTTTGAATTAATGTAAATGTGAATATTGTCTATTTAAAATATAGAAATTATGTATATGATGACTATTAAACTAAAGTTGTTTCTTTTAAACTTTGAATTAATAACAATGAGTTATTAATTTATGCTTTGCATTGAGAGAGGAATTAGAGAGGTTATTTCTACAAACTGAAATTTTTTTATGCAGAATTTTGAAAATATTCATTTTTTATCTAGAGGATTGAAACAAAAAAGTGTAATATAATTATCATGTGTATCATAAATGTTTCGTTTTATTTTACCACCATGAAGTGCTACATTATTTAATTGGTGTCACTTCTGCTATGCATTATTGATAATTCTGATGATGCTATCTAGTGAAACCTGTTAAATTTTGAAGATATAAATTTTTGTTGTTGTTGATGTTGAAATATTTATGCTTATGCGGAGCAATTGTAAGAATGTTTGAAAATTTCTAGCTGAGAACAAAGCTTACATTGAGGCGCAGGAAGCTGAAGAGAGAAAATTACTGAAGATTATCTCCGAGGCCGATGCTGAACGTGTGAGACAGAAGAAAGAACTTGATCAGGTTAGTGATCAGATTTACAGTTTAATAATGGACATTGACATGTATTTTGTTAAAGGCCCATTATGCCTCAAATTATATGCTATCATTTTTATCAAAAAAATTCTATTTTTGGTATCTTGTTACAGTTTCCAAGAAATATTCATTTGCCACGCGCCACATAGATAAGCTGTGCTTTACTTCTTTTGCTCTGTTTGCAATGATGGGTGTAATCATGGTGTGTGAGTAATTTGTATGGGAGTCAGAATACTATGTTGTTTACATTTTCTACCTTTATGACACATTGCTGCAGATTCAGCGCAACTTTCTTCTGTTGTTAAACATCTAATATGCTCTAAATCCATTGTTTAATTTATTAAACATATGTTTGACATTTCTAAAGAATTAAAAAAAGGATTAATTTCTGAGGCAAAATTTGACTTTAAGCTTTTAAAATGGCATACCCACTGTTACTGTTAACAAATGTTTTTTTTTTTACTATAACTTAATACATAATCATGCATAATTGATTTTTTTTCTTAGTTTTGTCTTCCTTACTGCTTCCAGTAATTTATTAGTTTCCTGTTTCCTGTGACAGCTCTTGTTTTCTTTTTTAGTCAGTATTACTATTTTCCGTTCTTCTGGAAACATTTTTTATCATAATAATCTGTTAAATTGAGCCTTTTTTTTACTCTTAATGAATTATATGGATAAGGTCTGTTATAACTTTTTTTTCTATTACCATATTTCTGTTCTTTAGGTGATAAGTGAGCGTGACATTCTCGGTACCCAGCTTGTACGTAGAAATGACGAGTTAGCTCTCCTGTACGAGAAGATAAAAATACAGCAGTCAACGCTAAACAAAGGAGAAATCCAGTACAATCAGAGACTTGAAGATATCCGGGTGCTTAAACTAGAAATCAAGAAACTCCGTAGAGAGAAGGGTATCCTTCAGAAGAGTGTAGCTAATGTGGAGGATCTTAGGTAAAGCTTCATTCTTCAAAATATTTATTTATGGAATAAGTTCATTTTGGCAGGATTGTTTACTATATTGTTTTAGTACAATATGTTCTTACTAGCTTAAAATTGGGTTAAGCTTGATTTATTTTTTCAGTGTTAATTTTTATTTTTCAGACGAGAAGTTTACCATATCCAGAGGGAACTTCTAAGAGAGAGAACAAGATGTAAGGCCCTTGAAGAAGAACTTGAGAACCCCATGAATATTCACAGATGGAGAAAACTGGAGGTCAGTACTTCAAACAAAACATGCCATTAAAATATCATGCCTTTGTGTTCAAGATAATATTTTCTAATTTAGCCAGTTTATTCTTCAAAGGACTTGAAAAAGAGATTAAAAGCATGTAATGTTTTAAAATGCATTTTATTTATGTTACAATTGTTTGCACAATTTATTCTTCAGATATTTTTATGTGTTTTTTTTTCTCTTGTGATTGACCTCTCATAAAACAATACTTTAGATCCTTTATTTATTTGTCAAGTAATGGACTGATAAATATTTTTGTCTGTTTGTAACAGGGTAGTGATCCGAGCCAGTTTGAGAACATTCAGAAGATTCACACCCTTCAGAAGAGACTTATTTCCAAGACAGAGGAGGTTGTAGAGAAAGAATTATTGATCCAAGAGAAGGAGAAACTGTATCTTGAGCTCAAACACATCCTGGCGCGCCAACCAGGTCCAGAAGTCGCTGAACAACTTTCAATATATCAACAAACATTGAAAGAGAAAACTAAACAAATGAAGGTAAGGACACTTTTCCTTTTTTTCTAATGGCAATATTTTAAAGGGTGTATCTGTAATGGATACTCAGCTCATACCAGATAGCTAACATAACTTGCAGATCAAAAAAATATATAAAAATAAGAATGCTGATTTTTTTAAGTTGTATATGTGACAAGTTCACTTCAGTCAGAGTTTTATTTTTTATCAGGTTTGTGATATCAGATACCATGCTTTTTTTTCCAGTCAATGGCCTCCGAGTTGAACATGTACGAGTCGCAGGTGAACGAGTATAAATATGAGATAGAGAGAATAGCTAGAGAATTACAAGAAGTGAAGAAGAAATATTTCATGCAGAAAAAGAAAGAACAACAAACAAAGTAAGTTTAACTCTTTGTAAATTTGTAATTTTTGTATTTTATTCTTGAAATGCCAATTGAACACAGGGCAGGTGTGGGGACTGTAAACACCTGGCATTTGAATATTTTTTAAGTATTTTTTATGAGCTGTCATTGTTATACCCCCGCACAACAAAGTTGTAAGGGGGGTATACTGGAATCAGCTTGTCCGTCCGTCCGTCCGTCTGTCCGTCCGTCCGTCGGTTTTTTCTTGTCCGCCCAATAACTTAAGATTCCTTTGACCCTTAGTCTTCATATTTGGCATGGAGGTTAGTCATGATTAGTAGATGACCCCTATTGATTTTGAGGTCACTAGGTCAAAGGTCAAGGTCACAGGGGCCTTGATTTCAAAAATCTTGTCCGCACAATAACTTAAGATTCCTTTGACCCTTAGTCTTCATATTTGGCATGGAGGTTAGTCATGATTAGTAGATGACCCCTATTGATTTTGAGGTCACTAGGTCAAAGGTCAAGGTCACAGGGGCCTTGACTTCAAAAAGCTTGTCCGCCCAATAACTTAAGATTCCTTTGACCCTTAGTTTTCATATTTGGGATGGAGGTTAGTCATGATTAGTAGATGACCCCTATTGATTTTGAGGTCACTAGGTCAAAGGTCAAGGTCACAGGGGCCTTGACTTCAAAAAGCTTGTCCGCCCAATGACTTAAGATTCCTTTGACCCTTACTCTTCATATTTGGCATGGAGGTTAGTCATGATTAGTAGATGACCCCTATTGATTTTGAGGTCACTAGGTCAAAGGTCAAGGTCACAGGGGCCTTGACTTCAAAAAGCTTGTCCACCCAATAACTTAAGATTCCTTTGACCCTTAATCTTCATATTTGGCATGGAGGTTAGTCATGATTAGTAGATTACCCCTATTGATTTTGAGGTCAAAGGTCAAGGTCACAGGGGCCTTGACTTCAAAAAGCTTGTCCGCCCAATAAGTTAAGATTCCTTTGACCCTTAGTCTTCATATTTGGATGGAGGTTAGTCATGATTAGTAGATGACCCCTATTGATTTTGAGGTCACTAGGTCAAAGGTCAAGGTCACAGGGGCCTTGACTTCAAAAAGCTTGTCCGCCCAATAACTTAAGATTCCTTTGACCCTTAGTCTTCATATTTGGCATGGAGGTTAGTCATGATTAGTAGATGACCCCTATTGATTTTGAGGTCACTAGGTCAAAGGTCAAGGTCACAGGGGCCTTGACTTCAAAAAGCTTGCCCGCCCAATAACTTAAGATTCCTTTGACCCACAGTCTTCATATTTGGCATGGAGGCTAGTCATGATAAGTAGATGACCCCTATTGACTTTGAGGTCACTAGGTCAAAGGTCAAAGGGGCCTTGACTTCAAAAAGCATGTCCGCCCAATAACTTAAGATTTCTTTGACCCACAGTCTTCATATTTGGCATGGAGGATAGTCATGATTAGTAGATGACCCCTATTGATTTTAAGGTCACCAGGTCAAAGGTCAAGGTCACAGGGGCCTTGACTTCAAAAAGCTTGTCCGCCCAATAACTTTAGATTCCTTTGACCCACAGTCTTCATATTTGGCATGGATGTTGATCATGATTAGTAGATGACCCCTTTTGATTTTGAGGTCACTGGATCAAAGGTCAAGGTCATAGGGACTTTGACTTCAAAAAGTTTGTCCACCCATTAACTTAAGATTCCTTTGACCCACAGTCTTCATATTTGGCATGGATGTTGATAATGACTATAAGGTGACCCCTATTGATTTTGAGGTCACTGGGTCAAAGGTCAAGGTCACAGGGACCTTGACAAAAAAAAAGCTTTTCTCAATTGCTAAAGAATGTCCTGTCCGCAATGTATTGATTTTGACATTTTCACATTTGAAGCATGTAGAATACATAACTTAGCAATGCACTGGCTTAGTAACCTAAGATTTGGCAGGGAGGTTGTCCTTGAGCTCTAAATGGCCACTGTTGATTCTGACAAAGTGGTATGCGGGGGTATTCATGCCATGATAGTGGCAGTTCTAGTTTTACAGGTTTTAACAAAAAACAAACATTAGAATATTGCATGTTGTTATAATTGAATATCCTGTTATTTTGGACATAATTGCCACAGGAAGTAACTAATTTTACAAATATATATTCTGGAATGAATTGGAATGAATACAATATTTTCAAGCACTTCTCAATAATATCATTAAATTTCATGGTGTTAAATTTACTATTCAGAACGTTTTATCATGTATTAATGGCATTAGCAACTTCTTCCCTTATTTCCCGATAGATTTTGGCGGTTTTTTAATAAATAAAATGTTACTTTTCTAGGGAGCGGGAGAGGGCGTTAGTGCAGGCTGGGGCCCCAGTAATCCAGCCGCAGAGAACAGATGGCCCGAGATTCACCGGTGGAGGATTCAACTTGAAGACACAAAAAACAGCAGCATAACATCATTATGACAATATAAATACAGATTAATTTGATACCAGTTGACAATTTCATGGATTTTCTGTTATAGATTTGTTCCTAAATTTAAGATTTGATAATAAAGATTAATGAATGATATTTGTTATATGAATTATAGTATATAATACATGTATCTACTTGTATAAAGATAAAAATTAACAGGACTATTTGTATACTATCTTACACAAGTTGTCAATTTATGAAGACTATTTTTAGCCTTTTACTAAAAGCATCCAAAAAAAAAGCAATATAAGGTAAATCTTTGGCAAGGTTTCTTAACTTTTCTAATTTCTGAGACATACATGTTAAGTCAAGAATATGTATATGTAAAATTTATACCCTCGTATATTATATGAGGTTTATATGAAATGATAATGAATGTTATGCAATAATGTTGACCAAAAAAAACCAAAAAAACAACAACAAAAAACAACAACAAATCAACTGTCATTGTTTTGAAATTGCTTTTTTTCTAATGAAATTGTCTGTTGACTACACTTACTGTTGACATGAAGGATTGACATACTGTATTAACAATGGGCAATATAAAATGATTGTATTGATGTGGTATTCTGTGATATGAAGATAATTTTATCCATATTAAAAAAGTATTATATACAAATTTGAGCCAAAATTACAACATTTAGATATATTCTCAAGTAACCTTTGTTTAGAGAAATTAAAATTAACAGTATTTTGGATGGATGAAAAACTCACAATATTTTTCAGTAAAAAAATAAAAAAAATAAATTAAATAAGTTAATTTCAGGTTTAACTGGTGTATTTAAAACACCTTAATTTGCTTTACCTTTGAAAACACCTTGCTTAATATGTTTATTTATACATGTATATTAATAATAAGAAACACTGTTGTAATCAATGTTTTTTAAGAGTTATAACTAACTTATGCATTTCTGTGATTTTATCCCTTATAGTCGATATATTGTTGCATTTGGAATAATAAAAAATATCTTGCAAATAAAAGAAGAAAAATCAGAAATTAGTTGTTGTTGTTGTTGCATCATTTGGAAGCTTACTGAATTTGTAGATTTTGAAAACATAAAGTTCCCTCCCTAGAAGCTAAAGTCCAGGATGGCGTCTAAAATGGCAGTGTGTTCAACCTGTCAGTTGTCGTAATATTTCACAACCAGCAGTTTATTTTTTTTTACACCTTGAATAACCATCATCATGCTATCTTAGCCTAGAGTAGATCAAATCCTGCAAACTACAAACTAAAGTAAATTGTACAAAGGCCAATGCAATCTGATATTTTCAGACTTTGATTTGAATGACAAACTGATGGAAATAATATATAGGTCCGAGAGGGTCTTTAAAGAACACAGAAGTCAAGTTTTAATCCAACAATTCCCATAATATTTCTTTTTCTCTTCATTTCTTTTGGTTTAACGTTACACCAACAGAATAAGTTATATGGCGACTTTCCAGTTCATTATTGGAAGAGCACCTGAGGTGCATTTCAGGCATGAGTGGGCACCCAAGTAGAACCGCCAATGTTCCATAAGCTAGCTAGTTAGGGTCCTCACATGAAAGATTTTAAAATCTCTTGCAGAATTTGAACCTACAGCAGTGGGGGGCAAATGCTTGTTAGTTAACAACCTCAACCATGGACACACATTCACAAAATTCACCCCTTTTTCTACTTGATATGCATTGTATATTTTACCAAGTGAAGTATCTTTGAGAGTGTACTTATTATTTTCTGATAAAGAAAATCACTTCAGCTGCAATATCACCTACTTTGGAAAGAAACAAAATAAGGGAATATTAGGGTCATGATGGCCCTTAATTGCTCACCTGAGAACAATTGCTTAAGCTTTAAATAAATTCATAATTTATTACTATCCCAAGTTTGTCACCAGGTCACAGTCAAGATCGAATTTGGATTTGGCCAAAATAACTACATGCATTCAGGAAACTTTCAAGAAATTTAATCATCAAAACAACTTACAAGCTAGAAAATTCACATTTAACCACATAATAAAATTCTTTATATTCCATTAAACAACAGGCTATGTTGGTGGTGCCCTTAAGGTTTGCATTCTGCCTAAATAAATCTCAGAGGGGTCCCTGATGTTTTCTTCACCAGAAAGTCTCCATTTATCTTAACAGTATAGGTTTCATTTAGAATCTTACTCCAGACAAGCACTACATGTATATTTATATTTTAATGTATCATAAAGAGAGATTATTCACACTTTAAGCAAGGTAGAATTGTTTCTTTGACAATGCATATTCTCTCACAGGTCCCTTACTGTATACATTTTCTATTTTTAGCTCTGTTGACCCCTTAAAGCGGCCAATTAAAATGGCATGAACAAATTTAAGTGTGACTGTTTTTTGACCAAATTCGCCCATCAGTTTCAGGGAAGATGATGATTGTTGACGCATGACGATGGACGACGGAGTATCCCCCTTTGATACTTATAGCTCACCCTGAACCTTTAGTTCTGGTGAGCTAATAAAGGGAGATAATTCAAAAGCTAAATGATACAGGAACTGCAAAAGAGTGAGTGTTTTTAATGCATAAGCAAACATACTTTTTCCTCATAACATACTTGCCACATATCATCTTAAAGTTAAGGCAGGTTAACACAAACATCAAGCCAGGCTATCAATGTTTGGTTACTTAATTTTGTCATGTACATATATATGTAAATCTCTAAATGTTTTCTAATTTGAAGCATGGAAATTCATACAACATAATCATCTTGATTAAAACCCCATGTAGGATTTTCTGTTATTAACATTTCAATGGGAGAAGAATTTTCGACAAAATTATATCAGTTAATTTCTGTTATTAACATTTACAATGGGAGAAATAAAAACAACAACAGGTACAATGTTACATTTTTTAGATTCATTTAATAATAATAAAAGTTACTATTAGTCTTCAAAAACTGATGAAATTGACTGTTCTTGAGGACAGGACAACAGTATTAAACATCTACAGTAACAAAATAAATAAAACAGTACATTATAATATCATATATAGCACATTTATTCTTTATAATCATGATATTTACCTCACACACAAATACTTCTTCAAAGTTTTTACATTACATCATAATCTGAACAAGAGCACAGAGCATGCCATGTTAACCATCGTCTGTAAACTTGTTAAACAAAATTCAAAGTTAAAAAAGGGGCATAACTCCAAAAAGATAGCTTTCAGAATTACGCCTGCACCTTGTCAAAAATTACGCCTGCACCTTGTCAAAATAAGCAAGTATCCCAAGTTTCAAGTTTTTTTACTTTTGAAATTTTTAAGTAATGGCTTACATTAAGGTTTTTGCACAATGACGACGATGATGAAGCAGTGATCCTAATAGCGACTTTTTCTTCGCAACGGAAGAGCTGAAAATGATCTTATATGTTTTAAATTGATTTTTAGAGTTTACTCTACAATTATTCACATTTGACACTATCTTGAAAAGTGACAGTGTCTGAAAATTAGATTCCAGACTGAAATTAACTTTACAGTTTCAATACATTCCTTTCAACAATCACAAGAGCTAACTTTTAAAGATATTAAGTTAACAAATAACAAAAATATCATTTAATTTTCTTTTAATGTTGTGCTCAATTCAGTAAAAATGGAATAACTTCAAACTTCTTGTAATTGTTTATTTCTGTGTTTTCTTGTGTGTTTTTTGGTTGTTTTTTTAATTACTTTAAAACTCTAGTTCAGTTAGCTGAAAATAAAAAACATCAATGAAATGTATATTGAAATACATAAATATACAAAATGTCTGCCAAAATTATACTTTTTACAAACTAAATTTGAAAAAAAAATTTAATGTTTCAATTTTTGTTATTTACTGCTTAAGAAGTCTTGCATGTGAGGTGAATACATAACAACCTGAAAAATTTCATCAACTATAAACACAAGCAAAAAAGAAAAGAACAAAATATTCATGATTTTATTGTGAAATGAACCACATGCTGACATAGCAGCAGCTAATGTATCAATATTTACCTGTATTTTTATGTTGTTTTTTTTTGTTTTGTTTTGTTTTGAAATTGTACATTAAAAATTTTTTATCATTAGTCTTTCATAATTTAACTGTCTTTACAATGTTAAAGTAAATTCACGTAACAATCTGCATTTAACTTTAAAATAACCAATCTAAAACAAAGAAAAACAGTCTGTTTTGTCCTTTTTCAAATATTGTCTATTGCTTTTTAATTTCCTCAGGAAAAATCAGCAATATCAAAATCAGCATATTAAATCTTTCAAAAAAAATCTTAATAACTTTTATACAATATAAAATTTACCAAAATATACAATAATTTTACACAAATAAAAAGAGTCAAAAAGTTCCATGCACATAATGAAGTATATAACACTGTAATCATTATTTCTTCACACTGGTAAAAAACCACATCTCTAGGACCAGTCTAACCATTGAAAAAAACCACATCTCTAGGACCAGTCTAACAATTGGAGCATCTGATTGGCTAATCATGTTGCTCTATCTATCAATAAAACAATGAAAACCTTGCAAAATATTGTCTGGTCTACAAACAGAATTTATACTTCCTACCAACATTTTTATCAATCTTTCATACTAGAATCATAACTGCCTTAGTAATTAAAAACCTGCATATCATGAAAAGCAAATCAATTTGTTATCATGAACAAAAATGAGCAAAAAAAAAAACAAAAAGAAAAAAAAAAATGAAAAAAAAAAAAAAAACATGTTCGTTACTATGCATAAAAACAATTGAAATAACAATACATAATTCCTTACAATACAAGTTAAGTTACATTTTATACATTCATATTTATTAAACAAGTTGTATTAATGATGCAGTATAGATAGTATATAAACACTTACATGGATTGGTATGAACGACGACAGTGTCGGGGCGTGTGCGTTTTTGTCTGGGATATTATGTGACGGAAATGAGTGTTTACACATGTTTGTATGTATAATCATATAAAAAGATTCTCTGTGTTAACATAGATGAAATACTCATGCATATATGCATATGTAATGAAATCTGAACCACAATGGATGGGAAAATCAATCATGTGAATTTGTATCTTCTTTTTTTTAAACCCTTTACCTGTTGGAACCAAATGTGAGGCGTGTCATGACAAAACCAACATCGGCCCAGTCTGATCAGGATCCATACTGTTCGCTTACCAAGTCTATTACAAGTAGAGAAACTGATAGCAAACAGCATGGATCCTGATCAGACTGCGCGGATGCGCAGGCTGGTCTGGATCCATGCTGGTCGCAAACCCATTATGTTGGTTTTGTCATGACACGGCTCATATGATAAGCCTTTTATCGCCAGCATAGAGCCAGGCCAGCCTGCATATCCATCCAGTCTGATCAGGCTCTATACTGGTGGTAAGCTCAATTTCTGAAGTTTTTAAACTTTGAATGGACTGTTCCAAATTCATAACAGGTTAAAGGTAAAATATAATAACATAATTGTTACTGTCATAACAATCTTACAATATATGACACTAAAATCATCATATATAAACAACAATACTACCATTCAAGGGCAAAAAAAAAATTATATAAAAAAAAAAAATCTACAATATGATCAAACTGTAAATGACTGTTACATAACTTGTTACAATAATTATGCCAATAAAAAAAATATTTTCCTAAAATTTACAATCATATTAATAAAACAGATTTTTTTATTTGGCAACCAAAAGTATCCAGTATTTATGGTTAAGACTTGCATAAAAACACCTTTGAAATAAATAGATGTTTTTACCTATGCGACACTTACAATGTTAAAGGAATTACTTTTATATTAAATTTGGCAAACATATGGACTGAGAGTAAAACTGCCGCAAAAAAGTCGGAATAAAATACTTTGTATTGAGGCATCAGAAATCTTGCTCAAGTACTTTATTTACTATCTATGTGTATTCTTTATAACAAAAAAAAATCCTAAAAAAAATCACACACCTACATAAAAACTCTGTCACATAGAACATATACATTTTACAGTAACTGAGCTTATTTTACAGTAAAGCAAGAGCACTGCATGCATTGTGAATGCTCGCCTGTTAAAATAACCACTTTTGACAAAAATACTAAATTTAAAGGGGGCATAACTAAAAAAATATAGCTTTCAGAATAATGGCCCTTGTATTACAACTGCCTATTGTAACGATAAGCAAGTATTCCAAGTTTCATGTCAATACCATTACAATTGTTTGAGTAATTTACCTACATTAAAGATTTTGCACAACGACAACATCAATGCAGTTATCATAACAGCTCGGACTTTTTCTCCGAAACAGACGTGTTAAAAATTGTTTTGTGTCACAGACACGATTTAAAATATCCAGCAATACTAACTAAACATAGTTAGTGAAATTTTCAGCATTATGTTTAATATAATAATTACAAAAAATCTAGCAGAACATTTCATTTATTGCTGTAACTTACTATAAAACATATCCAGCAGGGTTATAAATTTCAGCGGTGTACCTTTAACATAAAATATATGTAAATATGCCTACAAGAATATACAGTCAAACATGTGAGCACAGACCACCCAAAGGAGAGACCAAACATGGCCTTTATAGATAAATTGTCTTCATTTGGAGGTTGTTTTGAATTCATGAAGTATTGCCAAACAGTGGCCTAGATTTACAGGGTGGTCTTTATTCACATGTGTTCTTTAACACAGGTTTGACTGTAACTTAAATATCAATACACTGTTATCATAGGCATCTCAAAAACTGTGTATGTAACAATAATATGCAAATATAGAAGGTAATTTCCAAAGTTGCAGGTTTCAAAATGTTTACTCAAATTTTGAAAATAAAAAAAATAAATAGAACTTTAAGGCAAATATGTGAAGTTAAATAATGTACATTTCTTATCTTTTCACCAGTGTTAGTGCTATGACATATTATTTATTGAAGTTCTTTCAGCCAACTAGTGTCAATTAATTTATTCACCTGACAATGTTTTAACTATTAAGAATATTTTCTTTATTTTCTTACAAAAAGATAAAGAAAAAAAGTTTAGAATCTTGACGCGTGCTGCTTGTACACGTATAGTTTGCATTTCATAACATCAACAATCATGTGATCATAGCATGTTAGATTTGCCATCTAATACATGAAGTTATTTTGGGACTTTTTTATGTACCCTGGAACTTAAAACAAGAGGGCCATGATGGCCCTGAGGTTGCTCACCTGTATATAGCCTCCCCCCCCACAGGCCAATTTTTACCCAAGGGATTTTATTTGTTTATTTGAACAGACTTGGAACAGACACCCATAAGAAGATGTTTCATGCTAAACATCTAAGTTCTAGCTCATTGGGTTTTTTAAAAGAAGATTTTTTAAGTTTTTACTATACACATATAGTTAAAAACAATGACACCCCTGGGGCAGGGCCAGTTTTGACCCCCGGGCTTTTATTTGAACAAACTTTGTAGATATTTACTTAAAGATGTTTCATGCTTAATATCTAAACTCTAGCTATTTGGGTTTTTTCAAAGAAAATTTTTAAGTTTTTGCTATACACATATAAGGAAAATCAATGACCCCCGGGGCGGGGCCAGTTTTGACCCCAGTGCTTTTATTTGAACATACTTGGTAGACACCCATTAGAACATGTTTCATGCTAAATATCTTAGCTCTAGCTCTTTGGGTTCTTTAAAAGAAGATTTTTAAGTTTTTACTATATGCATAAAGGGAAAATCAATGACCCCCTGGAGCGGGGCCAATTTTGACCCCAGGGCTTTTATTTGAACAAATTTGGTAGACATTCACTAGAAGATGTTTCATGCCAAATATCTAAGCTCTAGCTCTTACGGTTCTTTAAAAGAAGATTTTTTAAGTTTTTACTATATGCATATAGGGAAAATCTATGACCCCCAGGGGCAGGGCCAATTTTGACCCCAGGGCTTTTATTTGAACAAACTTGGTAGACACTCATTAGAAGATGTTTCATGCTAAATATCTTAGCTCTAGTTCTTTAAAAGAAGATTTTTTAAGTTTTTATTATATGCATATAGGGAAAATCAATGACCCCATGGGGCGGGGCCAATTTTGACCCCAGGGCTTTTATTTGAACAAACTTGGTAGACATTCACTAGAAGATGTTTCATGCCAAATATCTAAGTTCTAGCTCTTACAGTTCTTTAAAAGAAGATTTTTTAAGTTTTTACTATATGCATATAGGGAAAATCAATGACCCCTTGGGGCGGGGCCAATTTTGACCCCAGGGCTTTTATTTGAACAAACTTGGTAGACACTCACTAGAAGATGTTTCATGCCAAATATCTAAGCTCTAGCTCTTAGGGTTGTTTAAAAGAAGATATTTAAAGATTTTTCTTTCGGTTGCCATGGCAACCAGAGTTCTGCATGGAATTAAATTCTTTGAACAATTTTTAAAGGTGACCACCAAAGGAACATTCCTGTGAAGTTTGGATGAAATTGGCTCAGTGGTTTATGAGGAGATGTCATTTAAAGCAAAAGTTTACGGATGGACGGACGACGGACGAAAAGCGATCACAAAAGCTCACCCTGTCACTTTGTGACAGATGAGCTAAAAAAACAACAGAGCTATAGCTACAGTTCAGAGTGCATACAGATTTTAAATGCCGACACAAGTCGGTTACAGTGGCTTATCAAATACATGTTTACACACATACCTTAATAAACTAATAAACAAAATAACATCTTATGACACTACAACATTTAAAATTCTCTTCACACATGTAAATGCACAATAGCATGGCCACAATATTCAAATCTGAATCATCTAAAGTAAAGTAAAACAACTTCTTTTCTGACCTAGAAATCTAAAAATTTTCAAACCTTTAAAATTATTTTCTCATACAGCACTATGTATGTATGTATGATATGATGTTTATTAACTCAGGACTCTTTCAGCTTAACACTGAGCCATCAGCCACATTTAGACACCTTGTACTATAATCTAAGTAGCATACAGTCCCTGAATCTTTTCTCATTGATTATTTTGATATTTTGTCACCATAGAGCAATAACTGGTTAACTCCTATTAAATTTAGCAAGACTTAACCTGTTACTGAACTAAAGTGACGTATTTTGTCACTTGTATATTTAAATAAGAGAACTAATCAGTAACAAAGATCTTGCATGAAACACTTCATTATGTTATTTTGTTTGTTTTATTACACCGATTCTAACATTTTTATTCATATCTCGGCAGCCAGTCCACCAAACCAGATTTCCTGGATAACTGACCAGTAATTACCAATTTCTCTGCAAGTGACTGACAATTAAATCCCAATGATTTCTGAATTAGCAATGACAAACAAATTACCATAAGACACAATGCCCGAGAACAATAGGTCAAAGAGTTATTTTGACTTGCCTGAGGATCGGACCAGCGACCCTTGAATTACAAATGAGCTCTCTTATAATAATTGTGCTTAGTGGATGGATTCAGTATGTTAAGACCTGAAACCTTATTATACTGGCCTTTTTAAATGGAACATTCAATGCTCGACACCCTACGTGAAAGAGAAGTTCTACAGTAAAAATTGGTAGTTTACTTAACAAAATCTTGCAGCTTCTACAAACTATATCACAAGCAAGCAACTTGTTTAACTTGTAAATATACATCTGTATTACATAGCAGTATAATAATATCATCAACTTAATGCAGTAACAGGTTAACTCCCAGTAAAAGTGAACAGAAGTTAACACATTTTCTGAACTAAGGTGACGATATATATCAAAGATTCAAGTTCTTCTCTACGCACCATTAACATGTGTTATATGGCAAGCAAAAGCATTACATACAGTATCTTATACAGTGCATCATCATCTCTAAAACTTGTCTTCCTATATTGCATTTGTTTAAAATTCTATACAAATATGTCTGTGTCATTTTTCCCTGTTCAAGGGAGATAACTGTAAAAATACATCTTATTTTTCCTTTTCAAGGGAGATAACTTTAAAAAAGATATCATTTTTTCCTGTTTTAAGGGAGATAACTGTAAAAAGACATCTTATTTTTCCTGTTCAAGGGAGATAACTGTAAAAATACATCTTTTTTCCTGTTCAAGGAGATAACTGTAAAAAGACATTTTTTTGTCCTGTTCAAAGGAGATAACAATAAACAGAAAATCATTGAATAATTATTGGAAAAAAAACGCAAATAATTATCAAATATAATGTAACGGAGAAATGATGCAGACTAGGAAATGGTATGTTATGATATATTTAATTTAGAAGCATTAATTTGTACAGTAGAAATGCCTAGACAAGTTAAGAGAAACAAAGTAAAATAATAAACTTTGTTCGGCCTAAGAAGAAATTAAACGTTTCATCAAAGAAACTATAACATATTCCCAATAGATCAGACTATTAATATTTGAGTACTCTCAAAGGAAAAGAACTATTGATGACACTGCGCAATTCTGAACCAGAAATTATGAAAACCTTTGTTGCAATAATTTACAAAAGGAATCACTCTAGGGTAAAACAGCATCAGCTTTCATCTATGATGACTGAAATATATGAATCTTCCAATTTCTATACTACAGTATCATCTCTGAAACCAAGAAGTGCTGTGTCATGTATGTATGTCATAATGTTTCATAAATAAAAAAATTAACGGAGGAAAGGGAATATCGTGTACTCACGTTACCAAAAGAAATGCAAACTTCAATAAGCAATCGAGTTAGTAATCTGTTCTATTTATGTAGGGAAGAAATTAACATCTTTATTCTTATAAAACAGTTATACCAAACTCTATACAATGAACAGGTTGTTTAATAGCTGTTGCCATAGTAACAGTAACTGCTCTGTCAACAGATATACATGTATAGTAGGTAATGTACATGTATATACATGTAGTTTATAGAATACAATAGATGCTAAAGTGACTTGACAATGTAACATGTTATCAAATATTACAATTATCACTTGAAAGATAAACTAAAAGATAAAAAGAAAAAAAATGGGAGGAACTTTATCAAACTTTGCAATACATGGACATTATCTCTTATAAACTGAATCCTACAAAAATAAACATACAGCTGACTTTAAGATCAACTTTGTAACAAATTTGATAGCCGGTACTTTTACCTGTCCGTTATAGAGACTTGACAACGACAACTTGAATTTAGTCAAGAAAAAGAAAATAATTCATGCATTTTGAAACTGCCTACTTCCAGATAGCTGATATGACACTAACACCTATACCTTTTCTTTGTATCATTACACTAATAATGTTTTGCCAGTATAAATGAACCCTTGACCTGCTGTCAGCTGTCACAAAAGCCTTTGATAACAGCTTGGTACCAGGCCAGATGCAAAAACCCTCAGCATCTTACCAGGAACCATTGTTAGACAGTCACCCTTCATTTCTATGTTTTTGAGAAAAATTGGATCAAATAAAAATCCTAAATGAATAAGCAAACAATATTATATCAGATGACATTATTTCCCAGCATGCAAAAGAATACTTTTAATTCCAAGGTTCAATGAGGGATAACTCCTGCAAATTTAGAACCATGACATATAGTAGATAGTACTCCTTGAACATTTGTTGAATTTATTTACTATCCTGGATATAGAACAATTTATTACACTGTTGTATCAAGTCGGGTATATTTTATTACGATGTTGTATCAAGTCAGGTATGTTCAAGCTTATTTACCTAACATCAAATTTATTTCACAAAGAGATCTTAGTTAAAATAATAACATATTACATGTTCATATATACATGCTATTGAGCTATCCTACTTGTGCACTACTATGACTGCACACTCAAAAAAAAATATAAAAAAAATGTAATAATAAATAAATTACATCCACTTCTTGCATCACATATACATTTGTAAAAAAAATAAAAACTGCAACCATAAATACATTTACATTTTTCACTAAGAATGTTTTTAGAGCTCTTTTTATAACATGATCTGAAAAAATGAATTATGATTTAAACACACCATAACATGATTAATTGTTAAATATTTTATATATAAAAAATTAACTTTGTATTAGCACTGAATTATTGTATTGTACTGAATTTACATTGTTCAATTTGTCCCTAGTAACAGGATGATGTTAGTTCTTCAAACTTTTCCTTTCTTAACCCTTACCATGACAAATATTTTGAATAGACCATGATCAGACAGCGTGTCTATCTTATTTTGGACTGCACTGGTCCATTCCATTGCCGTCAGAAGGCTGAAGGTTAGTTAATGAGGAAAGAAAAACCTGTCAAAAAACAATTCATATAATAAATTTTCAAAACCTTAAAAAATTTCTTTAAAAAATATTTCGTGTTTTAGTGTGTGTCTCTCTCTCTCTTTTACTAATGTTATTATGTATCAGATAGTTCATAAATTAAATTCATGAACTATTTACCAAAATACTTACAATTTTGAAAAGTGGAACAAAAAACCTGTAAAACAAATAAAATTAATACATAGTTTAAAATTTTCCGAATATTAATTGATATTTACAGAACGTAACAATATGCATACATCCCCGCACGCACACTACTCCTTGAACACTTGTTAAAAATGGCAGTATAGTTAATATGTGTATTATATGCTGTAAGACATGGCTAATATACAAATAATTGAGCCGCGTTACGACAAAACCAACATAGAGGGTTTGCGACCAGCATGGATTCAGACCAGCCTGCGCATCCGTGTCTGATCAGGATCCATGTTGTTTGCTTACCAACTCTATCACAAGTAGAGAAACTGATAGCGAACAGCATGGATCCTGATCAGACTGGGCGGATGCGCAGGCTGGTCTGGATCCATGCTGGTCGCAAACCCACTATGTTGGTTTTGTCATGGCGCGGCTCATATACTCTCAGATTCCAACAAACAATGCTCTAATATTCGTCAAGATTTATTCTCGATTATTATGGTATGGAAAGATGGGATATTGAATGAGTGTAGGTTATATACTAAATTTATTGACCGAGTTAAATAAAATCATATTATGCAAGCCTCAAGTGAGCATAATATTGTTTTATCGAATGAGTTCAATAAATTTAGTATTTAATCAATATAACTATAATAGTCTATTCATCACATATTCAAAATATGAAAGTTATACTGTTTAAAAGTCATTTTTCACTGAAGTGCCTGTAGTGTAACGCTTACATTAGCATGCTAATACGCTGTTTGTATAGTTTAAATTCTACCCTTGCACAATTTGCTAATATTTCCTCACACGAAATGTCCTGAATTTTAAATTTCCTAACTTTTCAACATGCGGATATATCCACTTATACAGTAACAATAAGTGCGCTCAAAACTTTTTACCTGTACTTGTTCATTTAGATTTGAATAAAATAAAAAATTCACATCATGATTTATCTTAATCTAAATTTGATCCACTAGGAAGATAATCCTTTAAAACAGCTGGCAAACATTGTGGCATCTAATCAGGGTTAAGAAAACTTAATGGAAAGACAGATTCAATAGCAGTACATGTAGTAAGTGAAAAGTAAGCACCTTGATAGCACAAACAAATTTCCATACAAGTCTACAGGAAACTACTATCACACCAATTTCACACATTAACTTTTTCAAACTAAGTAATTGACTGGTGACTAGCTAGTGTTAGTACTAATATAAAAGTTAATTGACCACAAACATCTAAAAATGCTGCATTACATGCAACTTGACATATGGTAACCAAGGTAAACCGAAATATGTTTTTTCTTTACATTATGCTTTTTTATGGTTAGGTTTAAATGTCACATCATGGTCAGAGACAATTTTCTTGTTATTTCATGTAAAAAATACCCTCCCTACATACACTATTATTTCAGCCTAAGTAGAACCAATCTACGTTTTGTTAAATTGTTGAACAGCTTAATCACCCTAGAGAATTCAAAGTCCATGATGGGATATCATCCAAAAGCTTTGAGGGACTCATTAGAATAACTCAATAATGAAACTTTTGTAAGAAATGAGCTCATTTACTAGACCTTACTAAATGGAAACGTTGGGGCAAATGAATGAAATACAAAGAAAATCTCAAAAGCAAACCTAATATGACTAGAATTTTCTTTTGATTTCTTTTTGTTGAACTTTCCTGAAATTCATTTTACGGTAGGTTTTATCATTGATCTCTTAATTTACCTTAAATTCAAAAATTTGAATTTAAATCCTCAATTTTAAAGGAGCTCCACTGAGGTCAAAAAGCCTTTAATTTTAAAATACTTAAAATTTTACATTTTTACATGGAATAGGTGAAACACATAAAATGAAAAAGTCTGCAAAGGATAATACAGAATTAAACTGAAAATCAATTATTTAAGAAATTCTTCACTTGATTAGAGTGAAAAGCGTTTCATTTTTGGTTCATTTTTGCACTTTAAAAATAAATATACTGGAACAACAGGGAGTGGGAATAATCTGAAAATTTGCACACAAATTTGCACCTACATTAAAAGTTTTACAAATCTCAGAACAATATTTCCAGTCCTGTCATGTAAAAAAAAAAACTCAGTGCAGTCCCTTTAAACTAATAACCAAACCCAAAAAACTTTTAATATACGGATGACTAAGTATTATTAATTTCTTTAAAATATCATGCATTTAGAATAAACAAAACAAAAAATATTCTGAAAATGCAGGAAAACAAATCAAAATACCACAATGCTGACCAAAAATTGCCTACTAGAGAACCAATTTTATACTTAACAGAACCATGCTGAATAGAACTTAAATGCTTCTACATGAATTTTGATAAATAAACGTCTACCTTTAAAATATATATATGATAAAAACACAGATAATACATATTTATATTTTCTTTTTATTACTATGTCTAAATCCTGTAAACCATAGTAACAATGGCAAGAATACACTGTGTAAAACTACAACAGTCCAACATTTCATTTTGAATTTCTCACTTAAGAAGTAAAAATTTCTTACTTAAGAATGTAGAATGAAAATACACAAATGAAATAAATACAAAAACGATTCAATACAAGGTGTAACATATATATTTTTCTTATACAATCATAATATAATGCTATAATGCAACTGCAATTTTTCTCTTATAAACCACTACCCCTACATATTGTAACATAGACTATACTTAATTTTTTTTTTTTATTTGTATATTCCAAAATAAGATTCAAAAAATTTATATCCGAAGTTAACATAACATTTTCTTAATTTAAAAAAAAAAAAAAAAAAAAAAAAAAAAAAAAAAAATGAATAAAAATAAATAAAAATGTGAAGCCGGTAATTTTAACATGTTTGTTATCTACTGCAGAACTTCACTTAATCACTGCATTAAAACCCATATACATGACATTCCTAAAATCTTAGCACGACAAACCACATTTAAATTCTTGGTCAGGAAAAGCTTATTTTAAACTGTCAAGTAGTTGATAGATTTGGCACCCTTATATGATTATAGACAAAATCTGACTTTTGAAGAAAAATGTTAATTGATTTACTACAACTGATTCAGATATATGAACCCTGAATTGCAAATTTAAAGCAAGGAAAAATAAAAACAAAGAAAAAGAAAAAAAAACTTACAACATTATAAATATATTTCATTTATATAACATAGATTTTGCCAGTCCCGATATCATTTTTACTAAGCACCTTACAGACCCAAAGTTTTTCTTCCACTATTCTGTGATTGGGTCTGCTCAAGTGAAAGGTTTTTTTGAAACATTGAAAAAAAAGAAAAAGAAAAAAGGAGACCAAAAAAAAATGGAATTTAGGAAGTAAAATTGTGAATTTTAAATAATTATTGGCAAAATTTGGAAAGGAAAAATCTGCAGCAATAGTAAATAAGTCCTTCAGAAATAAACAATTAAAGATCCTGTTTGTTGCAATTAAGGTTGTTACCACACTTAAGTCAAATTTTATATTCCGTATGTATATAATTATCCTTCTTAAAAAATTTTCAAACATTGAAAAAATATGTAACATATGTACTGCAAATATTTGTCCACATTATATGTAATCATTAAAATATAAGCATTCATTTCTTATTGAACAATTTGACTTAGACTTTCGGAAAATAAATTTCTAATTACCTCCCTTCATTAACATGAAATGTAAATTTGGTAATATCTTCACAAATAATGCTTTTTGGAACTTACAATATTGATAAATCTTCATTTGAGCATTATACGAGGGTTGTCCCAATATTCTGTGACAAGATTGTTTAAAAGCTAAATAAAACAGGTACGAATTTGATATTTTAATATGTTATAAACCCATACAATTTAAACATTTTCACAAATTTTCATAGATAAATATCAACAAACAACAAAAATATGCCTTAAACACCATGGCAACTAACTGATTCGCGGCGCACGTCCAACGTCAAAGCTGGCATTAAATCTATATAAGGCGCCTTTCTCAAATACTCTCAATGGCTTTCAACGCAATAATGGTACCCATAAATCGTCATTTTCTGACTTAAATCATGTGGTTGTTAATGTCTGTTGAATGTTTGGATTGCATACATTAATTTTTGCTATACGCGAACTTCCGGTCTCGTTACTCCTGTTTTTAGCTGAAGGAAATAAGCGACGAAAATCGGTCTTCCTATCCGTGATTTCCTTATTTTCGCTTTTTGAAGCGCAAAACTCTGGTTCCGTTCATGCCTTTTGTACACAAATGCTCAGAATATGTTGCTAAACTGTTATATTTGGTATATTTGTTGACAATCGTTACATGTGCCATCTCAAAATAGTCATAAAACCTGAGTGACATGTTCACTGCGCCGCAAATTCTTCGAACGTCGCCATTTAAACTTTCCTATTTCATACGAGATATTTTCATTTATTCGTATCATTTTTGTTTTTTAAGTTATTTAACTAAAACTTTCGGAGATGATTTAAACATAGAAGTAGAGGAAGTCAACGTGACATTGTGCAGACACATCATCAGATATTTGAAATACACGTAATTTATTTCAGCCTAATCATAACGAAATGTATATTATTTGACGTGCGCCGGCAACTCAAACCAATGTCGTTAATACTGAAAATTTCTAAGTAACTAGGGTAAATTTTTTGTAAACGATTTGTTGTCATGTTAAATAATAAACTTAACGGTTATATGTGTAAATTATTTTCTATTGGCGTTAAAAATGAACCGGCTATAAAATTTGTCACGGACTTTTGGGACAACCCTCGTATTTATGATATAAAACCATAAAAAATTGAGTTACAGGATCTTTAACTATTGAGAAAACAGTTTCAAGCATGTGGAAAACTCTTCCTTCAATATTTTGTTTTGTTTGGTTTTACGTAGCACTAACACAATTTGGGTCATATGTCGCCAAAACAAGAGATAATGATTCAGACTAACGTCAGGTCTTATAAACTTAAAGCAACATCAGGGGTCACCTGCTGGAGCTATGAGATGCATAGACTCCAGTAATTCAAACCCATTTAGTCACCTCTTAATATCACACAGTGATAAACCACCAGTGCAATTCTGATGCTTAAACCCTTTAAGGCAACCACTCAGCCACAGTTAAGTTCAATAACCTACATTGTATTCAGTAGAGTACAAAGTTGAAAAAATTGATAAAGCATAAAATATAACAAGAGGGCCATGATGGCCCTGAGGTCGCTCACCTGTATATAGGCCCCCCACCCCCGGGCCAATTTTTACCCAAGGGCTTTTATTTGTTTATTTGAACAGATTTGGTAGACACCCATAAGAAGATGTTTCATGCTAAACATCTAAGTTCTAGCTCATTGGCATTTTTAAAAGAAGATTTTTAAAGTTTTTACTATACACATATAGTTAAAAACAATGTCACCCCTGGGGCAGGGCCAGTTTTGACCCACGGGCGTTTATTTTAACAAACTTGGTAGATATTTACTTAAAGATGTTTCATGCTTAATATCTAAACTCTAGCTATTTGGGTTTTTCCAAAGAAGATTTTTAAGTTTTTGCTATACACATATAAGGAAATTCAATGACCCCCCCCCCCCCCGGGCGGGGCCAGTTTTGACCCCAGGGCTTTTATTTGAACATACTTGGTAGACACCCATTAGAACATGTTTCATGCTAAATATCTTAGCTCTAGCTCTTTGAGTTCTTTAAGAGAAGATTTTTTAAGTTTTTACTATATGCATATAGGGAAAATCAATGACCCCCTGGGGCGGGGCCAATTTTGACCCCAGAGCCTTTATTTGAACAAACTTGGTAGACACTCATTAGAAGATGTTTCATGCTAAATATCTTAGCTCTAGCTCTTTGGGTTCTTTAAAAGAAGATTTTTTAAGTTTTTACTATATGCATATAGGGAAAATCTATGACCCCCTGGGGCAGGGTCAATTTTGACCCCAGGGCTTTTATTTGAACAAACTTGGTAGACATTAAATATATATATAGTATATATAGTTTTTACTATATGCATATAGGGAAAATCTATGACCCCCTGGGGCAGGGTCAATTTTGACCCCAGGGCTTTTATTTGAACAAACTTGGTAGACATTCACTAGAAGATGTTTCATGCCAAATATCTAAGCTCTAGCTCTTATGGTTCTTTAAAAGAAGATTTTTTAAGTTTTTACCATATGCATATAGGGAAAATCTTTGACCCCAGGGCTTTTATTTGAACAAACTTGGTAGACATTCACTAGAAGATGTTTCATGCCAAATATCTAAGCTCTAGCTCTTATGGTTTTTTAAAAGAAGATATTTAAAGTTTTTTCTTTTGGTTGCCATGGCAACCAGAGTTCTGCATGGAATTAAATTCTTTGTACAATTTTTAAAGGTGACCACCAAAGGAACATTCCTGTGAAGTTTGGATGAAATTGGCTCAGTGGTTGGCTCAGTGGTTTATGAGGAGATGTCATTTAAAGCAAAAGTTTACGGACGACGGACGGACGGACGCCGGACGAAAAGCGATCACAAAAGCTCACCCTGTCACTTTGTGACAGGTGAGCTAAAAATCTCTAAGCTCTTCAGTCATCAATGTTATGAATTTTTTTATTTATTCTTGACACATTGTCGCATAAGTTTACAAAATATATACGCATCATCATTCATATGCTGGTAAGAAAAAGATAAACCATTCAGACATGATGCTCTCCAATCCTGTATTAGGCCATAGGAGCTCAAGAATTGAACTGCAGATTGTGGTGCATGTTTTCGGTCCTGAACCAACTTTACATATTGTCTCAACTTTGAATATTTTTTCATATTTATATATATTTTCATACTCTCAAATAATATGAAAAGATATTTAGATGTTGGGGAAACATTTGTAAAAACTGTTAAAAGATCAGAAATATTTGCCACAATTGTCGATACTGTTTCAGAGTTCCTATGGTATTAGGCCAACTTAAATATAGTAAGTAGTGCTTACAATAGCTGTGCTTTCAGGCTGGAGATATACTCCAAGAAGAGCACTGTTCATGATGCAACAGTAAAAATAAAAAAGTTGGAACTTAATAAAAATAACATCTGGAGGCCTTGGACATAATAATTATTTCTAAATAAAGATTTTATGTACATTTATAAAGACATTATACATAGAAAACATTTAACATCTGTATGATATTTCTTAACTATTTCATTCATATTTGAGTATATATTCTTCTTCCATATCTTTCATCTACTTATTCCACCTACGGAAATTTCTACTTATTGACTGGTAAAAAACTGATGGATTGAAAAGAAAAAAGAGGGGTAAATATAGCAAAATGATTACCACACTCTTATGATTCCACCTTAACCATGCAACCATGCCTTATACAGTAACAGTAGAGTCCATTATGGAGATATAGGGGTGAAAGTTGTTGATTTCCTTCAATGAGAACAATGTATTAACTTTCTACAAATTAACAGTTATTTCTCTTTTTTTGCTACACTCCTTTTGCATATTATGCATCATTAACCACACAAACATTGGTCTCTTGGAAACTTAACAAAGTAACAGCTTCTGGTCAGCTCTTCAATTTCCGTTCTTGAAAGGTGTAGTGGCAATCCGTCTTGAGTTACCTCATCGATTAATACTCCTATATTATGTAGCATTCTGAGCATCTCGTATTCATAACTGTATGCTGCAATTTCACCAGCAAAACTGCAAACATCCAATTATATGACTTGTCCAAGTGTATTACTCTATCTTACATCAATTAACTGTCCGTACAGTCATTCCTTCTCAAAACTTTGAGATTCATGTAAAACTTTTTAGAAGTACAAAGTCAGATTTCAGACTTTGTTATCAAAGACATTATATTTGTTTCTCTTGCACAATATCTACCGTCAACCTTTTTTTATAGTTGCACCACTAAATACCATGAGTAGTGTCCCTTTATATAGGGGAAATAATTAAACAGAAATAGCACATCTGTACAGAGTAGTCTCTCTTGAAATTAACTGATGCTGCAAGGGGAAATACTCCATTTCAAGTGTCACTATCACACAAGAGTACTATCCCTTGCACATGTAAAAAAGTAAGAGTGAATAAACTTCAAAAGAGAAGTTGTCTCCCCCGTTGATACAATGATAAATGCTAGTTGAGACAGTGGGGCAATTTTTCGGCTCCGTCTGGTGTTTGAGTTGTGCAATGTTCAGGAATGAGCATCCCGTGGCTGAAATGAAGAATATCAGTAATTAATATGGCATATCACATTATTTAAGATAAAAAAACAAAGTCAACAAAACCTAAGCATAGTGGGGGCAATGCTCAACTTTTTCTTATTTCTAAAATCAAACATATCAGAGGAAGAATATCATAGTTTAACAAAACATAAGTTTTTGGTAACAAATAAAATTTAAATTTATATTTGACCTTGAGTTAATTGAAGGTGAAAGTCACATTTGAAATAATCATTGTGTCAGTTTTTTATCTTATGGTGTCTTTTGTCCAGGTAATGAACCAAATCCATAAATAAATAACAAAACTATAACAATTTAAGCAAATTTCAATAATTTGATCTTGACCATGAAGGTCAATTAAAAGGTCAAGGCCATATCAGAATAATTCAACATTTCTGTTTTGTTGTACGTGTTCTTTTGTCCAAGTATGGATCAAATCGATATATAAATTTATGACAATTTAAGCAAATTTCAGTTATTTAACTTGGTGGTCATGGTCAAATAAAGGTCAAGGTCAAATATCAATTATTCAATATACCACTTATGATATATCATAAGTGTTCTTCTGCCCAAGTATAATCATCAAATCCATAACTAAATGACAAAATTATCACCAATTTTAGCAATATTCACTAATTTGAACTAGTGTCAAATTTAAATTAAGGTCAAGGCCAAGTTCAATTAAATTATCTTTAATGTCTAGTGCAAATATGAAGACAATACATTCATTTCTTACAAAGTTATAGCCAATCATAGCAAAATACTAAGAAATTACAATAAATTGACCTTCAAGATTATTGATGCATGAAGGTCATAATCAATTATAGTAAAAGTAAAATAAAGTAAAATTCAAACATTTGACCTTAAAGGTCAATGTCATCTATGAGTTAAGGTCAAGATCAGTTTGGTTAAAATGGGGCATATACTATAATATTAAGAATCATGTCTGCCTTTTGTCATAATAAGCAAGTATTCCAAGTTTCATATTTATACCTTTGAGATTGTTTTACAAATGGGCTACATAGAAATTTTTGCAATGACAACACCGCAGCAATCATAATAGCTCGACTATTTCTTCGGAACAGACAAGCTAATAAATGATCTTATAATGGGGTTTAAACACATAAATAAAACTAAGATGAAGTTACAAGTCTATGTGCAACATTTCATCAATTATCAGGTAATTACTTTTGCTCAAATTACATACACTACATGCCAAAAATAACAATCCAATATTTCATAAAACATGCTTTTTGTATCTCATTATAAGCCAAAAGTAAACTAATCCCTAATTAAGCCAAGAATCAAGAAAGGTTTTCAACTCTTAATATAAATCAATGCCACAAGCTTGAATTTTATTATTATAATATAAAAATTTGCTGCCAGTGATTTTCTTTCCTGATTTACGGTAGTTTATATAATTTTCTAATGAAAAGAAAGATATCATGAAAAATCAATTATATTTAATATTAACAATGAACCATTTCTTTTATCAAAACTGTTCCCTTATTTCTCCCATACTGTTCAGATAACTGCATTATCTGCTTGTTAATATTAAAGGGACTCCACTAAGGTTTTTTTTTTACATGACGGGACTTGAAATAATTTTAAGAGATTAATGTTCTATCAGGTGTAGGTCTCTAGACCGATAACTTGTGAGCAAAATTTCAGATCATTCCCTCACTCCGTTATTTCCAGAAAAGTTATTGTACTTTTGAAAAATGACCTACAACTGAAAAGCATTTCAACGCAAACCACTAAAATTTGGCTAAGAATAGTACAAAAATACAATTTACAATTTGAGTATAATTCAGAATTAGCCTGTGTATATCTTTGTTTTTAAAGTGACCAAGGTGATCTATGACAGAAATTAAATTTTATGTTTTTAGACTTTTGGACCTCAGTGAAGTTCCTTTAAGAATAAGGTTTGACTATAACAAACGGATAACTGCAATTCTTATTCAATTACTACTTATAGTACTTTAATTTTATAATGATATAAAAAAAATCCCTATAAATTATAATTCTAAATCAATGTGTAATACAAACGTACTGGTGGGCAAGGGTTAAACAAAGTTTTTCATCATAGTAAGAGATAATTTTCATCAAAGTAAGAGATAATTTAACTATGTTATTAAATCAACTTAGTTACAGAAAAGAGAGTGCAAAAGTTGCCATATGGGTAGCATGTGAAGCTACTATAAGTGCTTCATAGTAAAAAAAAAAGTTTTGTGGATAATTGCAGGAAAATTTTTATGTTAAAAACACAGAAAACCATAAGCAGGTATTCACAAAAGTATATCATTCAGTAAAGATCAATGCAAGGGTTCTTGTTCTTAGATAGTAACCTACAACTAAGACTCCAATGACATAAGAGAATGTTAATTAAGAGAATACCATTAATTTCTGCGAAAACATAATTTGCAAGTCAAAACTAATCAGGAATTTTCTTAATTCACAAAAAAGGGCTATATTTAAAGAATATCCATGCTAGAGTTATGGGTCTTAGGACATGACCTATAGTCATAATGCCAAACACATGTGTGAAGTTTCCAGAGAATATCTTCAATTGTTTAGGAGATCTTGCAAGCAAATTCTAAATCAGGAATTTTCACTTTCACAGATGGGTTCTATTCAGGTAAAAAAGTGCGTGCCATGGATAAGAATCTAGTACTCTAAAATTATGATCCAAAAGAAATGTGGGTGCTTCAATAAATACTTGGTGAATGAGTTACCGAGCTGCACACAGAACCTTTGAGAAAGAGTTACGCTAACAGCAACATACCAGAATGTGGGATTATCCCACTTTATTACATGCTTTTTAAGTGGACAGTGAAATCATAGTCTGTTAATTTTACAGTGAAATTATAAAACATCATTTTCAGAGTAGCCAGACTATATTTGAATGCAGATGAAAACAATACATCATAAGTAAGTGAAAATATCATCAGATATACATTTATTAAGTAAATTGTGCTTTATTGACAAGAAAAACATGACAATTTGCCTAATGGTAAAAATGTTACAAATTGGTGAAATTTTACAAAATCATTTTTCAACAACAACAAAGTGACATCGTGATTTGATGATGTCATGAATTAGAGTTCATATCGTTACGAAGCAAGAATTTGAAAAAAATGACTGAAAACCACAAGAAAGCATGAAATAAATAGGAACTTTTGTTTGTTTTGTATGAAAGATCAAATTATATTTCACTCAGGAACATCTCCACCAGCTCTTATATTTTCACGCATGGCTATGCCACTCTGTGAAAATACCACATCTGATGTGAAAATACCCCATCTGATGTTCACTCTATGAAATATATTTTTATCTTACATACAAAACAAAAGATTACTTTTTGCATATATACGTGTATATATACACTGCAGCCGCGATATAACTTTTATCTCAGTATAACGCTCAAAGGCCTTGGTCCCCCCCCCCCCCACAAAAAGAACGCATTTTTCGCCGATAATATTTTTTTTTCCATGTATATCAATACCACACCTTATCTGCTATAACGCTTGTTCAATGAGTCAGTCAAGTGCAATAAACAATCATAATTAGGTGACTTGTGAGCAGAAGGTGTGAAATCATACACAGGTAAGCGTTAATCCGCTCTTTTGTTCATTTTGAAATGTTGATCAGTCAGGTATCAAACCGTATCAATTTTCATAACTACACATAACTGACGTTAACATCATTGTTTTACTGGAAATTTATAAAAATTTTTGGTTTATATTTTTAATTTGTAAATTTCATGTTTCATTTAAACATATTCAGTAATGCTTTACAAAATAATATATAACAATATATACAAATGTTTGGAAAATAGACTGATATCCATTGATAGGTAAGTAAACAATCATTTCTGCTAATAAGCTTTATAAGTTCGGCGGTGGGTGGGGTAATGCAATATTTTCACTATAATTATACAACGAGAGTTATAAACAGTTACTTGTTACAACGCGGTCTTGAGATCATGGACCACAACATGAGCAATATAACGGGGCTCCAGTGTACATATGTTGATAAGTTGAGCTAAAAAGAATTCCAAGTGGCAACTCAGCAAAAGCCCCTTACTAAGTACTGGCAAGTAGACAGGGTAAAGTCAAAACGCTGACATGTTTTTTCTACTTTCATGACTTGATGACAACACATAATTACACATGTATGACAGGACGTAAATATATAAGGTCCATTTCTTATTCTGTCACAAAATTTAACAACCCTAAACGCTACCATTTGTAAATAATGTCTGACATTACTTTACTAAACACCAACCTAAGAAAAAAATAAAAATTCAAAACCAGTATACTTATAAAATTTGGTTACTTTTTATTATTTAAAACTTATTGTCATACAAACACAAATTTATAAATAAGTGTTCACGAAGTATTACAATAATTAAATTTTACAATAAAAGTTAAAATAACAAACCGAAAATGTGCTAAAATCATTAACACACAGTTTTATTGTTTTCCTATGTATAGGAAGGAAAACAAGGGAAAATTTAGTAACAGAACAAAAATGGTACCCGTGATATTCACAACAGTGTTTTTGGGATATATGATTTTGATTACAATAATGAAGTGCTTATTAAGGGGCTCTTACCCCGTTGCTACGAGTGCTAGTGTTTCCCCGGGTCTATTGCTGCTCATATGCTTCCCCTGAACCACACTGACACATCTAACAATAATGTTAAAAACAATAACAAATTAACAAATAAAAATCTCTTTGGTAACAATTTCTGTATCTTAAACCAAACATTATAAAATATTTCTTGTTTTCCTAAACTTAACATAAAAGTAAAAGTTAATAGAAATTTTTTTTTTGAGAAATGTGGGATATATGGGTAGAGGCAGAAGGGGTAGAGGCAGAAATTGATTTCTGACGTAAAGGTAGAGGCACAGGTGGGGGGGGGGGTGATATCCAGTCATGCTGAGCCTGCAGCCAGCCACATTGCAGATGTTCATGCATTAATAAGGAACAAACATTATAGGTAGAAACATCAATCTTACATCAGCCTAACACTAGGACAAGTTCAAAATAACTTGTAAAAATTTCAGATCAAAGACGGGACTAAATGTCATTTAAAATCTAAATATCATGCAAAAGTTAAGAGCCTTTTTGAGAGACATTTTTATATTCTGATTAACAAAGCTCTATTTGTATTAAACTGGATAAAAAAAAATAATAAAATAAAAAAAATTGAGGCACTTCTACCGATACTTTTATAAATAAAATAGCCAATCAAAAATTCCATTTTTCTGGAATGCTAGAAACAGTAGGTTAAAAAAACCTCTAAATAGCTAACCAAAAAAAACAAAAGAAAACTTTAATTTTTACATATGAAAGCAATTAAAAAAAGACATATGAGCCGTGTCATGACAAAACCAACATAATGGGTTTGCGACCAGCATGGATCCAGACCAGCCTGCGCATCCGCGCAGTCTGATCAGGATTAATGCTGTTCGCTATCAATTCAATACTTGTAATATAGTTGGTAAGCGAACAGCATGGATCCTGACCAGACTGCGCGGATGCGCAGGCTGGTCTGGATCCATGCTGGTCGCAAACCCACTATGCTGGTTTTGTCGTGACGCGGCTCATATATAATATCTTAAGATGGATATATAAAAAATAATGATTCTGTCTCAAAGATCACTGAACATTCTTTTTTTTAAATAAACGAACATACTGGTTGTTACCCGATATTTTAAAGATACTTATTCTATGTAGGATAAATCTACATTGTATTTCAAAGAGTGACATTCTAGTAGTTCCATGAAACTAAATCCTAACGTTATTTTTTGTTTTAGAATTTAACTTTTACCAGGAAAATAGCATTTCAGTAATCATATACTCATATACTGGAAGACCAAATTTCTATCTCATTGACAAGTTTTATTTTCTGGTACTTTGCTTTTGTGTCACTCAAATCAAACTATATTAAAAATGAGCCATGCCGTGACAAAACCAATACAGTGCGTTTGCGACCAGCATGGATCCAGACCAGCCTGTGCATCTGCGCAGTCTCATCAGGATCCATGCTGTTCGCTTACCAACCCTATCACAAGTAAAGAAACTGATAGTGAACAGCATGGATCCTGATCAGACTGCGCGGATGCACAGGCTGGTCTGGATCCATGCTGGTTGCAAACGCACTATGTTGGTTTTGTCATGGCCCGGCTCATTAATATCCTCAACTTATAGAGTCACTATCATTCAACCCTATCCTCTCACTCATGACAGTGATTTGTAGTTAACTATTTAAATAAACACACCATAAATTCACTAGCAAAAGCAAATGAAATTGTCAATTATACTTAACACAATATTTTAATTAATTAAATCCCATTAAAAGCATATAATGATAAAAAAATCTTTATTAAATGAACTGGAAGTTATGTGTTGTTTGTTTTTTTACAAACATGACAAACCAATTATCACACTGCTACAATAAACTGACAAACAAAAAGAAAAAAAAAACAATGTGCCATTAGACTTGACTTTAAATTTTAAAATTAAAATATCAAACATTTAAAATATCACTTTTTTCTGATTATTCAATACTTTAAGATACAGATTGTAGTATATCAAAAATATGTTATACTTACTCTACGTCTAAATAATCTATCTAAGAAATTTCTACTAGGAGGTGGGGGTGGAGTACCCTCTGTTAAATCTGGTGTTGGCTCATCATTCTCGCCATATACATTCAACTCATTAAAACATTCGGTCTCAATCATCTGTCAAATAAAACAAGAATTATTATCTGACAATATCATATATCTCTCTCAATACTAAAGATGACAGATTATTTTTCAAGGATACAGGTATACGTTTTATCTCATACAGGCATGGCTGCTATGTGTAGATATGGCCTCTTTATGCAGGCATGGTCTCTATGTGTAGGTATGTCCTTTATATACAGGTACAACCTCTATGCACAGGTATGATCTTTAAATACTGGCATGACTTGTATGTGTAGGTACGGCCTTTATATACAGGTACAACCTCTGTGTACAGGTATGATCTTTAAATACCAGCATGACCTGTATGTGTAGGTATGGCCTTTATATACTTGTATTGGCTCCATGAACAGGTATGATCTCTACATACAGGCAAGGCCTCTATGTGTAGGTATGTCCGTTATACTAGTATACAGGGATTGCCTCTATATACAGACATGATCTCTATGTGTTGGTATGACCTCTTTATGCAGGTATGGTCTCTATGTAAAAGCATGCTCCTTGTACAGGTATGATCTATATTAACCGGGGCATGGCCTCTATGTGAAGGTATGACTTCTATATAAAGGTATACACTTTGATCAGGTATGATCTCTATATACAGAAGACACACAGGTAAAACCACCAACTTTAATAAGTCAGATAGTTTTCTCACAAAATAGAAATCATAATAAGTAGCAGAATTTTGACCAACAGAAAAATTATTGAAAACCACCATCATTAAAGATCATTTTTTCAGATGCCACAGCAGTTTGTTTTTGTAACACTACATGTCTAGGTCAAATATATGTATCAACTTTCCCATCATCATGATGAAGACACGCCTAAATAACTATTCTGTCATACTTTGTAATTCTACTCAAGAGAACATTATAAAATTAACAAAATCAACCCTGCTAAACGATAAATCTAGAAAGTTATATAAACAACCTTGATTTCTCTACGTAAAATTTAATTTCAATTAAATCCCAAAACAAGATTTTAATTCAATTATTTACGTGAAAGTGAAAATCGATAATTTTGTGATATGTGCGTACCTCGTTCTGCCACGGTATTGAGACGCTCCCTGAATTAAATTTGCTGTAGAAGGTGTCATCACTTGGATCAAGATTCACTCCTTTTACAGTGGAAAACTGTTCTATATCCAGTACATCTTTACAGTATACTGCCCTTGGCTGGAAATAATTACATCCATGAAACAATACAATCTTACTTTTTCCATTTTTTTCCCCCTTTATCTCTTATTATATTTTAACTTTGTGGTTGTTTTTTTCTCCCCCTTTAACTTTTTTTCCTGCTTTAATTTTGTGTTGTTTTTTTTCCCTTAATCTTTTTATCTACTTTAACTTTGTAAATAAAAAATAAAGAGAGGACTGAAACAGCTAAAAAATCTTTCTATAACCTAGAGTAATTTTGCATTTATCATCTCGGCAGCAATACATTTCTCCGTAAAAAAATCTCAAAAATGATGTAACAATCTTTATCAATGTTTTTATGCGAAATCTCTCATATGTCGTCTACACAACTGAAAGTGTAAAGGTTAATGTAGTGGTTAATATTCTGATTACAAATAAAAAATGAAAACTTATATAATCCTTAAACAAAATGAAAACAGATATCTTTAGTAAACAAATACTTACATCTGGCATGAAGGGTGGCTCACACATGCCCGCTTGTAACCGTTTAAAATTTATATTTTTGAAAAATAAGTGTTCCTTCACCTCTCTAGCACCAGTTTCAATACAGCCTAGCCGCTTTTTAGGATCTTTTTCTAGTAGCTGGAAAGAACAACATAATATTGTGCAAAATAGTCAATGTCAAAATCTTATATTTTTTATACACTCATTTTGCCAATCAGTCATTGTCCAGTAAATACATATACCTTACATAATACAGACAAAAAACTAAATATGAGGTAATCAAGACTTTATTGCACATTTATATTGATGTGTGGTTATTTAATATTTTAGCCAAATAGGTTGCAGACAGGACATTTTGGAGTATATATGGCCTAAATGAGACAAATATGACCCAAGCCGTAAGCGTATGTTTATATAGATCTTAATAGGTTATATTCCCCTGTGTATCCAGTCAGCAACATGCGTATTCATACATGCAATGGTTTTTGATAATAACAAATTTGTTTTTATATTTACTTTATAAATAAAATGAAGTTAAACAGTGAATAAAACCTGACTACCTCTCTTAAACCCTGCTGACCTTCTGAAATAGACTTGTTTGACTTCAATTTTTAGAACTTTCCATTATCAATTATAGGGATATCAAGATGAAAATTTGTTGGTCAGCAAAACCGTATAAAACCTACTCAGGCTGCAGGGAGAACAGGCTGGTTTAAGTAATTACTGATGGCAAAGCCTAATCACATTTGGTTCTAGAAGGTTAAGGCTTTAAACCTCCCACTGGGCGCCTCACTTACCACTACTTATCATGTTTTATAAAAGATTCACAGAAATTCAGGAAAAATGTAATTGTTTGTTGCATAAACATTTATTTCAAAGGGAATGCAATTCAGCTATTTTTGATGAAAGCCTTCCCAATAACGACTGTTTATTATAATACATCATCAGGAGACATAATGATGAATAACTTTATTAATCAACATCTTCAGTGAAAACTTGGACTCAAATATTTTGATAAAATCATACTACTCACTTAGATAATTAAATCTTTTTTCTAGAACAAAAAAAATATCATCAAAAAAAACAAAATAACATTGAAACTGTGACAGACATCAAATGACTGATAAACAAATATAAACCAATTCTGTTTCCATGTCAACTGACAAATCATTTATCTTTGATGGAAATTGGGGTTCTTTAGGGGAAAATTACTGGTGGTACATAAGAAATTACTAAGGTGAAAATCAGAACACTATAGAGGAAAATAACTGTTTTTTATTCAAAATTACTTTAGTGCAAATAGGGGGAAGTTGCTGACAGTACATACAAATTTTAAAATGAAAATCAAAGCACTTCAGGTGAAAATTGCTGATGGTTCATGCAAAATTACTTAGTTTAATTTATAACACTAAATTTGGTGTACATTCAATATTACTATGGTAAAAATCATGGCACTTTCAAGGGAATAATTGATGAATGTACATACAAAATAATATACATATCATATAGTATGTCATCCAATAAAAATTTAAGAAATTTAGAGCTGTCATCGATATCGACAATATCGATGTATCGTTGATATTTTTTTGTCGATCAATAATCGATACACATTTTAAACAAGAGCGATCAGTAATCACATGTGTCGCCTCATGATGGCCAATTTCATGTTGGGACAAATTTTGTGACAGACGGACAGACAGGCGGACAGTGCACAACTAGACTAACCACTTTGTACTGATCATTCCTGTAAAGTTTGGATAAAATTGCACCAGTAGTTTATGAGGAGTAGTCTGGACAAGCTTTTGCGTATCTGGCAACACACAGAAAAAAACACCTTTTTATCAAAGGGCCATAACTCGGCCTAAAATCATTCAACCGGAAAACCCGTGCAATATGCGCAAGGACTTGAGCTACAGATCAATCCTGTAAAGTTTCATTGAAATTGCATAAGTGGTATAAGAGAAGTAGTCTGGACAAACTTTAAAAATAAAAATTTTTAAAGGGCCATAACTCAAACAAAAATCATTGAACCGGAAAATGCTGACAATATGCACAACTAGACTTCGTACTGATCATTCGTGTAAAGTTTGGATGAAATTGCACCAGTAGTTTATGAGGAGTAGTCCGGACAAGCTTTTGTGTATCTGGCAACACACAGAAAAAGACACCTTTTTATCAAAGGGCCATAACTCGGCCAAAAATCATTCAACCGGAAAACCCGTGCAATATGCGCAAGGACTTGAGCTACAGATCAATCCTGTAAAGTTTCATTGAAATTGCATTAGTGGTATAAGAGAAGTAGTCCGGACAAACTTTAAAATTAAAAATTATTAAAGGGCCATAACTCTGACAAAAATCATTGAACCGGAAAATCCTGACAATATGCACAACTAGACTTGGTACTGATCATTCCTGTAAAGTTTGGATGAAATTGCACCAGTAGTTTATGAGGAGTAGTCCGGACAAGTTTTGTGACGGACGGACGGACAGACAGACAGACAGACGGACAGACAGACGACGGAGAAGTGATCCCTATATGTCGCCACTACTCCGTAGAGGCGACACAAAAATCGATACTTTTGACTTATAAATTAAATGTCTAGAAATTATACAATTCACCCAAAATATATGCAGAAACAATTATTTATATCAACTGTGATGCTTTTGTTATATAGTGGAATTATTTCATAGCAATGGTGACAAAAAATATTGTCTAGAAAAAATCATGCAGTGGACAAGACACTGTACAGAACATGTTTTTGACTGAAATCATTGAAACGGGTATGAAAATGAATGACAGACAAGTGAGTATAGGATATTATCGATATATCGGTGTATCGTTGATTATAGTTACTTGATATCGATATATCGTTGATATGCTTTGCACTGAATCAATGACAGCTCTAAAGAAATTCATTTGAAAAAAACTGACTTGAGAATATACAGGAGTGATGTAATATGGACTACAACTGTAATTTGTAAACTTATCAACCTTAGTGTAGCAGCATGGCCCAGGGTTTAACACATCAGACTAATAATGTAAAGTTGTTTCTTTGAGCAAGAAACTTTACATTCATTGCATAGTAATGGTGGGTTCCAGGAACGGATTCAAGAGTGTGCCTATAAGCTTCAAGCTTCCTACACAATCGATTTAGATAAATTCTGTATAAAGTAACCTTAGTGTTTGAAATCAATACACGGTGATATTATTAGTTATAAAGATTTTTGCCGGTTATATGGCCCCATATAAACGGCCGTTTGGAAATATAAGCCGAGCCATGAGACCAGGGTTCTATTGCAAAAAAAAAGTTTATATACGGTTTTAGGACCTGTAACGAATATTTATAACAAATTTATAATACAGCAAACTTCCTTTTTCGTGTAAAAGGTGATATTTATAAGAAAATTGACAGCAGGCAGCCGTGTATATAAAACAATGTAAACATCACGATCCAATGAAAATTGATGTTACAAGTGTGCAGTATTAAAAAATGTAATATAAAGCGCCACCTACCTGTGAACATATAGAGCGACAGTCCTCTGAGAATTTAGCTGAGTAAGTTTCACTGTCTTCTTTTACCCGTCTATCTACTTCTTCTCGCTTTACTTTCTCTTTACGCGCTCGAAATGGAGCCTTTACACAAATAAACATATTTCATGTCAATCAATGGTTCTAGTGGTTCAAATGATACATAACTACACAAATATAATCAGTATTCAAGAAAATAGGCAAAATCACTTTTTAAAGAACATATTAATGATGCAATATCTCATTCAGGACAATCTCACTTGATCTACATTAACTATTTAGCAATGAAAAAATGCATGTACTAAATATATACCTTTCCTTCTATCATTTCATAAATGAGGCATCCCAGACCCCACCAGTCTGGACTGAATGTGTACTTTTCATTCTTCACTACCTCTGGTGCTGTAAAACAACCGTACATTTGTCTGTATTAACATACATATGACTGCTGTTATAACTGTTTTATCATTTTAAAAGCTTTACTTGTGATTTATTAACCCTTTCCACCCTATATATCAGATATGCGCTTGCCTATCTGTTCAATCTGGACAAGTCCATTTGTCATTTTTAATATATACTGACTGAAAAGAGAACAGTGCACGGGTATTCAATCCTCAACATAGTCAAGTATTCCAAAGAACTCAAAAACAAACAAGGGCAACATTGTCACAAAACACCCTCATCAAAAAAGCTTTTGACAGAAAGGTGGGCATTATAAACATGCATTTAGAAGAAAATTTTGCTCTCAAACGGGCATATAAAAAATACACCATTGAACAAACAGATTTATTGATCAAATAAAACACTGCTAAAACAAAACCAAAACTTTACTTACCCATATACCCTACAGTGCCTACACGACCTTTGATTGACTCTCCCTCGGGGATTTCAACAGCTAGGCCTAGATCTGATATCCGTACATGACCTGTAATAATCAAATTAAAGATATTTCGTATTATAACAATAGAAAGGTATGGCATACATACCAACATGTACATGCTGCTATAATTGTTTTAAAATTCTATATGTATAAGTGTTTAAAAGTAATTAACTTAATTTTTTTACCTTCCCTTTAATGTACATTTCACACTTATTGAAAGGTATCAAATTAACTTGTATTAAGAATCACGTTATATCAAATCACACAGATAATGGCCTTCCCCTATAGTAATGCCTCAGAAATGTAATAATTGCAGCCAGATAAATGATTATATATGGGAAAATTGTTTTTTTTTTTAAATTAAGGACTATTTTTTCAAAGAGAAAATACAGTAATTTTTAACACCACTGTAACCGCATAGTTGCCATATATATCACATGTGTGTCACCAATCTCCTATATAGGGAAGGGTGTTTCATCTGATATTAGCTAATTGCATGAATTTATGCAATTTTCCGACTTGTTGCATGCCAGAATGCAATTAAAACATGGCATCATAATCATAAAAGGTTTCAATTTACAGAAAATATCAAAGTTACCATAGAGAATTACATAAAAGGCCAAATTCTCAGTAGCTTGTTAACATTTAAAGCAGCCCAATTAGTCAGATTGTCATTATTATTTTTTTCGGCTGATAAATGTGCACAGTTTACGTTGCATATAAGGTCAAAGGCAAAAACTTCAATGCTGTAGAGATGCTAATATAAATTTAGAACATTGATGCTATATAATAGACTTCGAAGTGAAATATAATAAAGGAATGTCTGACAAAAACTACTTTCAAAGTAAATAAAAAATATCTGTACAAAATGAATATATTTTAAAAAACTTAAACATGAGCAAGGGCCATTGCCTTCTGTTGTTTCTTACAACTTAATGATAAATATCTATCAAAGAGCAATAACTCTAGATGAAAATGAAGTCTAAACAATTGTATAAGTAAATCAATAAGGGGAGACAATTCTATGAGGATCACATCCTCGCATGTAGGAGATAAAAGGTCTGCAAACTGAAGCCAATGGATGAACCTGCTTTGAATTTGGGACAGTCCATTATTAATTTAAAAGATTTCAATAGCAAAATACAATAAGAGCACTGCATGCGATGTTAGCACTCCTCTGTTAAAAAAAAAAAAAAGTTAAAAAGGGACGTAATTCCAAAAATATTGAGTTAATTTGTAACTCCCTGGGAAACTGGTAACTTTACAATGTACAAATTAACATTTCATGAAACAAACAGTTCAGAACAATGTATGTGTAATGGATTATTTTAATAAATCATTAATTACCTCAATTAAAAGGCACAGAAATATGGTAACTAACTGCTGATAAATAATACATTGAAAATATGAGATATGAAAAACGATTGTAGTCGAACTGTTTAATAATGAAAACAGGTATAGTGTATACATAAAGGTTTCTCCCAGTACAGTGTTCAGACATTAGTGATACAAACTAAACATCAATTTGCTATATGACTCTGAAAACGGGACACAGTCACATTGCAAAAGAAGCAGAAGATGGCCTTAGCTATATGGTCAATCAATGAGTCGATCAATGAGTCAATCAATGAGTCAATCAATGAGTAATTTTTTTGAAAACTGTAAAAAGATAGCAAAAACAAAAAGCTATTGGAAAATAAAGAAAATAGTATTTTTGAGTCTAAATTGGCCAGTTAAATGCCCATTACAAAAAGGGCAGTTTCAAAATTTGAAGTATTTCAATTTTTTTTAAAGAAGAGCTGTCCATTCTCCGAGCTTGATAGTAAAACAAGAACCTTGATAATGAAAAATTTTTCTTACTTCAAAAAGGGTAATAATTTCATCAAAATTCATGTTATAGTTCTGGGCCTTGTGCAGTGACCTCAAACTAATGTGTAAAGTTTCAGCCCATTCTTTTCAGTAGTTCTGTAGATGCCATGCAAAACCTAACCAAAGCCAGGGTGAGGACAATAACTGTTCTTATTTTTTCAAATAGTCAAGCTAAAAATCAGGAGGTAAATTATTATTTAAATTAGCATAATTGTAATATTACAGTAATAAATAGCTTCATCATACTCACCATTATCATCTAAGAGAATATTTTCAGGTTTCAAGTCTCTGCAAAATAAATCAGAATATAAAAGAAAATAACATGGTAGGGCTTTAAAGGAAATTTAAGTCTATGAGTTATGTAAAAGAAATAAGACTTTGTAGCTATTGATAATAGCTATAAACCCTACCAAATAATTTACATGAAAATGGTTCATACAGAACTTGCAACAACAAACAAAAAATTCAACAAGTTTTCAAAGAGTTTTGCAGGACCTTCCTTTTCAAAGACTTTTAAGCCAAGTCATGACCTAAATTAAAATTTCTTTAAATACAGCAGTATAAGGAAATTAAGTTGTCATACATAAATGCAATATAATGACACAAGTCCAATAATACCCACCCATTATTTTATGAAAATAACTGACAAAACAACAAAACAAAAACACGAGCAATTCCGGTCTTAACAAAACAGCTATGCTAGTTAAAGCATTAGACCTGCTGTAGATTACATGTATTGACTCTCATTTTGTATTTTTGTTCCATTATATAGGTATATAAACTAACTCAAATTTGATAACATTTTGTTTTTGCACAGCTGCTGTTGATTACGTTACCGGTCAATTTATAATGCTAGAAATATTGTATAATGTTGGGAGCAAATATACTGCATTGCATTATAATGTACTGTATCTTTTTCATTTACAATTCCATATTAAATTGTCACCTTAGTGCAATAACTGGTTAACTCCTATTAAATTAAGAAGGGCTTGGCTGTTACTGCACTAGGGTTATTAGATATAAATATATTGTTTTAGATTCATGCCAAAACATGATATGCAGAAGCTTCGACCTTGTAAACCATCCTAAATCTATCTTCCAACACTTAATGTCAGCACACAGTTAAAAACTTTATGGCTATTATCCTTTTTATAACTCATTATATATATCGCCAGTCTTAAAATTGTTGTCAAACATACCTATATACAATTCTTTCACTATGCAAGTTTTCAAGTCCCAACAAAATTTCCGCTGCATAAAAAATGGCTCTTTCCTCTTCGAACCCTGGATTGCCCATATTATGAATATGAAATTTGAGATCTCCACCATTCATTATAGTCAACACTAAACACAGAGCATCCTTGCTTTCAAATGCATAGGCTAAACTAACCTGAAAAAATATTGATGAATTTTTACATGATTCATTTGTTAATTTTGTCCAAAATTCTAGGATTTAGTAACAGTATACAAAAAATTCTAGAATTTAGTGAACATTACACACTTTAAATTTGTTCAAAATTTTAGGATTTAGCGATCATTTCACAAGCATTATTTGTTTTAAATTTTCAAGATTTATTGCAACTTTAAATAGCTCAAGGAAACATTGTTACACTTTCATGACTTGTTCTCAGAGACCACTTATCCCAGTTTCATTAAAACTATAAAGAAGACATCAACAACAAAACAAGTATGTATTTGACCTCACAAGATGAACAAATCATGTAGTTTCTCTACTTCTATTTTAACACCAGGTACATATCTGTTTCTATTTGTAGACAACACTGACTAGCACATACTGTGTTTTAAATGACCAAAGTAAAAGACCATGACCAGAAATAAACCTGTCTACCTTAATTGGTAAGAATTTAATCACAACTTCAAAGAGTACATAAAATAGTATATGTCTCGATAATTTTAACATTCAAACATTCAAAACATTTCATCTCTCCGGCTATACAGATTTATCATCTAGATCTAATTAATTACCACTTATTGTATTAAAAAAACACGAGAGAATTATGTAAATTATACAAAATCCATAAAAAACGAGAGCAACCCTCAAGAATTGTTTACAAAATCTAATAAAATCAAGACCAAAAAGTATAAAAAACACCAACTTACTACAAATCTAGAATTGATCTTTTGAAGAATCTGTTTTTCATTTAATGCCATGGCTTCACCATTTCGTTTCTTGATCCTCTTCTTTTCCAATTTTTTACATGCGTACATTTTACCAGTGGCCCGTACCTGACACGCACATACTTCACCAAATCCTCCTTTCCCCAATACCCGATACATTCTAAATGTGTTCTTTGTAACAGGTTGGCTATGAAAAAAAGAATAATTCTTTGTTTGTTTGTTTGTTTTGGGTTTTACGTCACATCCACACAGTATAGGTCATATCGCGACGTTCCAGCTTTACAGTGGAGGAAGACCTCAGGTGCCTTCTGTGCATTATTTCAGGCACGAACGGGCACCTGAGTAGAACCACCGACGTTCCGTAAAATAATTCTTTGTTTTACATATTATAATTATATAGACTATGTAAATAAGCCATGGATGATTGCTACAGATCTGATTAACGAGAGCAATCGGAATGGACAGCGTGCTCAACTATTCTCAGTGCTTGATAGTAAACAAGAGCCTGGATAATGTTAATTTTTCTGAAGTTCTTAAAAGGCCATAATTCTGTCAGAAAATTCATGTTAAGAGTTATGGGCCTTGAACAGTGGCCTCCTATTATACTCTCACACTCTCTTCAGTAGTTTTGGAGATACCAAATTGCATGCAAAAACTTAATTAAAGTGTGACCTCAATGCCGATGCCTGGTTGAGTACAATAGCTCTCTCTATTCTTCAAATAGTGGAGCTAAAAAAATATAACTTTAGTTATTTTGTCATCTACTTGTTTAAACTGTCAAATTAAATGCTATTTAAACTTTCTTCATGTTGATAATGACCATACCAATATCCCTTGTATCAAACCATACTGCACATGTGTGCAATCTGATGAGGCTGAATGCTATTTCCTGTTCAATCAAGTGTTTTGATTAAATCGGACAGTTCCAAAAAATTAAAGTTTAGCAAGTCTATATTATAAAGATTCAGAAGGGCAAGGGTAAACATAAATACCAAGTATTACATCAAACAAGACATTTTTTTTTTTAATTTGATTTTACATCGCACCAATATAAAATAGGTTAAATGGCGACTTTCCAGCTTTACTGTTGCAGAAAGATCCTAGGTACCCACTGTGTATTATTTCAGGCATGAACAGGCACCCCGAGTTGAACCACAGACATTTCGTAAGCAAGCTGGATACCTTCCTCAAGTGAAAGAATCTCGAGTCCCAGTGGTGTAAAATTCAGTTCCAAATTTAATTGATTTACTGCTAATTTGCGGAATGGACTCAGTCTCCCACTAATAAGGAATATTAATTGTTAATTCAAAATGTAATTTAGACATAAAGTTGTTAAAATTAAATGAGCCGTGTCATGACAAAAACAACATAGTGCGTTTGCAACCGGCATGGATCCGGACCAGCCTGCTCATCCGCGCAGTCTGATCAGGATCCATGCTGTTTGCTTGCAAACACTATTACAAGTAGAGAAACTGATAGCGAACAGCATGGATCCTGATCAGACTGCGCAGATGCGCAGGCTGGTCTGGATCCATGCTGGTCGCAAATGATTACGTTGATATTGTCGTGACGCGGCTCAAATAGTTTACAGTGCTGACCTCGATCAGACTTCCAGAACGTTCAGATTATCAACAACACAATCATTCTTGTATGTCAGACATGATTCCTTATTGTTAACATCAAGACTAGAAATACCCGTGTTACACAGCCTTGCTACCGCTGTTAACAGTTACCCTCAAGCTAGCTATACCCGTCTGTACCAGGAGCCGGTGTTAGACTCTCATTTCAATAACACAATCATTATCAAAGCAAATGATCCGAAAATTAGTTACGTGTTTCTAGAGTATAATGTAACCTAATTAACATCTCACCTTTCCAGCCATTTCCATTGTATATATCGTTTAAAATAAATACTAGCTAAAAATTCTTGAAAAGGTTCCTTCTGTAAATAGTCTATCACATATCTGTAAAAAGAAAATTTCATATTATGAACAATAAAATATACATAATAATTCAAATAAAATTCTTTACAGTGAATTCTTTTCAGCACTTCAAGGCCTAAGAACTTGGACATCTCTGGATGTTAAATTTGTTCTAACTCCATGTGCTCTTACCACTGCCATTCCAATATATTTAGCCCTGATGCCATTTTATTGTTGTTAATAGAAGAGTAAAAATCACGTATGTGAAAGATTACTTAATGAACTGTTGCATATAAAATAAAGTTTTCTAACTAAGCCATTTAAAGTAACTTATACTGATTTTTCTACACAGTTAGTGAGAGTAACAATATCCATCATATGTTGCGGTTCCGATCGGAAGTCCGTCCGAAGACAGGTTCATAAGAGACAGATATTCTGAAGTGCAAACATGTCAGGTATTTTTTCTTGCATATTCTACCATATTACATCATATTTTAAATAATTTACCTTAATAAAACAATTTTCCATGGAATTTTATGTCATTATAACTAATTTTCTAACAACATCGTATAAATCATAACGGCAAAATAACGTCATTCTAAGCATGCCATTGTGTAGCACGTGACACATCTGGCAACGCCCTGCTAATATGAAATTTCTGGCATGGGTAAAACTAATGGAAAGACCAGTCTGATATGCAAGAATACAATGTCTTGTTAGTTAAGCATGGCATTTCAACCACTATGAGGGACACATTTAGATGATAAAACTTACTCTGCACATAGTGTAAATAAGTCCTTGTCTGCAGTAGTTTCAGCCAAAGATTCCTTTATGGCTACCGTCTGATTTCCATTGACCTGACTTATATAATCTGGGGACTGAAAACAGAACAAAAATACATGTACATTAAATCATATAAAAAGCCAAAAATTTTTAGCAGCACTCCTCCAGTTTAGTAAAAATACTAAAACTAATACAGGCTACTCCAGTAACCTAAATAAAGTAAGTAATATTTCAGAAACCTGAATAAAGTAAGTAATATTTAGAAAGGTGCTTTTTTTTCAAGCTTTGCCCTTAAAATGCTGGAATCAAGTGATAAGCCACTGCCACCACTGTGCCAGTATAGAGCCGGGGCAGTCTGCATTTCCATGCTGTTTGATCATGCTCTACACTGTTGGTTAACTACCTCTATATTGTAATCTTAATATCCCAAAAATTGATTTTGGACAGTTCTTATAAATGGAGGCTGGACAAGACTAGTTCAGAAATTCGGCAAGTGAACAAATTCAAAATTAATTAATGATCACCAGATAAGATTTAGGCTACCACTTTTTTTCAAAAGAAACAGGACTTTGCATGCACAAAAAAAATGAATTGGAAATAAGTTGAAAATAACCAAAATTGTAACCTAGTTATATATTTTTTTTTTTTTTCCAACTGAAACCAGATATGAGTGTATAGAACTACTGATGACATTAAATTAACATTCAAATTGAGAAATTAACTTAAAGTTATTGGTTCTCTGAAAATGTGTGAAACAGCTGCTTTAAGGTCTAAAACCTTTATGGATTTTAATCAGAAAACAATGAGCATTTGCCAGACAAAAAAGGTTGGGTGTTTGAAGATAACACTCTTGATTGGGGAATTAATTCAGCTTCTCATCTGATATTGCTATATTAAATTCAAGGATATAATATATTGAATATCATCAAATGACACTTTCATCATTGTTCATGACAAAGCAATAAGATCCTATTCTGATAACACCACAATACTCAAAGCAATTAATGCAATGTTAGATCCTATTGATTCTCTCACAGCATTCTGTCTCCCAACCTGTCTCGCATCTCGGTCTCAACTTCTCCCGCACAACTTCTTTCACAACTTCTTCGGACACTCTTCTACTGCTTGCAGCAATAGCAACTTGCCTCGATGCCAGGCCAGCCTCCAGTGTGACCAAACTCTATCATACTGCAGCTTGAGCTGCTTGCTTTGTCATAGCATTACAGTCTTAAGGTAGTACTCCCCTAATGCACTATCTCCACTTTGAAGGGTATTCAAATAGGCTAGAATCACTGTAAAGTGTATTGAATCTGAAGGGCGTGGGTTCAAACCCCAGGAGGGGCAACTTTTTTTTTTCTTTCTTTTTTTCTTTTCAACATTTTTTATTAATCTCTCAGATCCTAATGGAAGAAAAAAGTGTTTCATTTTAATTATATAATTATTGTAGGTATTTATTTACTAAAAAATTTCAAATTTAATAACAAATATGATACCAGATATTTTCATTTTTAAAATAACAACTTGAATTGTGCGACAAAATTTGGAACTTTATATCTAAGGGATTTATAGTAGGTCATACTGCTTAAGTGTACAAGGTGGTCTCACTATACAGGTCCTATAGGGCATTTGTTGCTAGGTCACAAATATCTGTTTCACACTTAAGCACAACTTTTTTCAAAGAAATAACTTAAAGAGTCCCATATTCCTTTTATCATTTCCTGGATCATAAAAACTTCTGCAGTTATTTTGATCTGCCCTAATTTCATCACAATGATAAACAAGCTTCTGTCCGATTTGATGACAAATTTTTGATCAATATGACTGAGACGCTTTGCCAGAAAACAAGACTTTTAGCGAGTAAATAAAAGCTGATAAATATCAATAATTATATTTGCTAATGATTTTTCAAATGAACCATGTAATTACTGGACACTGGACACTTGATTATTCATCAGATCTTAGATTTCTCTGATACAAGGTCATTTTCCATGACATCGAGACTTCTAGAAATCTTCTAATTAACAAAACTTCAGAACTTACTCTCCACTTAAGCAAAAAAAAAATTCTCTCCTATATTTACCACAATATAAGTCAATCATTAATATCTGAAGATTTTGTCAACATTTCCATTGAACTAATAATATTTTTTTCAACATACAACAAAGGAACTTTTTAAAAGAATATAAACTGAAATCAGAAGCAATTTTATTACATATAAAAACAATTTTTTTTTGTCTTCAATTACAAAAGTAGCTCAATGGCATATCGGGTTACTGTTATCCTGAACAATATATGTAAATCAGGGCCGGCAAAATCTGATTTTGACTTACTAGTCCATTTTATGTGAAGCATTTCTTTACTTTACTTCAAGATATTTATTAGGTCAGTGGTTTTTCATACTTAAATGGTAAGAGGCAAATCTTTTGATTTTGGACAAAGCTATAGCATAAATTGCTTATTTGGGAAGTAAAAAAGCTGGTTTGAGTTCAGATTTTTGGGAAAACTGCATGATTTCAAAGACAATTTCAATTGGGAAGAGGCCTTTTTTCGGAGTCTGTTATATAAGTAGGAAAATCACTGGAACAGCACCACTGTGGTCACACAGCAATATACAGTTCAGATCAAATGCAGGATTTAAACATTTAATTAAGTCTTCACATCTTTTTTAATGTTCATTTCGATAATAATTTTTTATTATATTAAACCAAAGTTGTCACTCCTTATAACATTTTCTTTCACATTAAACTTACAAAACATGATGCACCATCAATACATGCTGTGACTACAATATGGGATGAGAGGAACATCTTTTGAAGCCCTCAGACATTATAATAATGATACAATGATCCTGACTGATATATACAATTTTATTATCACCATGAAATACTTATTTTGTGGCTATACAACTTTATATTTCACACTTGTGAATGGCTGGCTCCGCTTTTTATTGCCCCATAACTACCCTAACAACTTGCACAATTTTATTTTTCAGCACGAGAAATAATCATGAACCACTTAATACTTCATGATTACAGAAACATACAAGAAAAGCATTGATGCAAAGCATCAAAGGGCGACGCCAAAAGAATTTGATCCAGATTTGCACCTAAATACTTAACAAAAGATGTGTACTTTATAGCAGTACCATTACATGTGACCTGGAGGCTAGGGCCAGGTTAAGTTGAAACTTAAACCAAAAAAGAATAGACTCTGTCTTGCCAAGATGCAAAGGCAATTTATAGTCAATTAAGCAATCTTATAAGACTCATGTTATAAGAAAGAATTTCTTCAGATTTAATTTATGAGACACAAGGATTCCTGAGTCATCACTGGCACGAGTATCGGACCTGGAAAAAAAAAATATGACCAGATGACCAGATTGATAAAAAAAAAACTGTGTTTATAAAAACCAAAACAAAAAATGTAAATAATGATCCCCTTTAAAAATATACTTTCAACTTGAAATATATTTTTAAAGGGGGTCATTATTTTTACATTTTATTTTGGTTGTTGACACTTTTAAGATGAACACAGGTTTTTTTATCAATCTGGCCATATTTTTTTATCCAAGGTCTGATACTCGTGCCTGTGCATTATAATAAAAGCTTATTGCTTAGGGTTGAAGACATGTAATTGACATATATTAGACATAAAAGAGGACCTAAAATGAACATCAGGGGGACAGCATAGGTACTCAGAGCAGTAGTAGAATAAGTACTAGCCACATCAACCAGCTACTATCAGAGATAAGACTTAAACCATGTAAGAATGTCATTATATATGGCAGATGCTTGAAGTTTCACGAAGAAGAAGAAAAACAACTTCTTCATGTGCAGGATTAGTGTGTTCAACTGTAATCAAATGCCCTTTGTAGATCTAAAAGTATCATGCAATACTGCCTTTGTCCATTTCAAATAATGCAATCTGTTAAATGAATCAAACATGTGTCAATGAAAAACCACTTCTAAACCCTGACTGAAAACTGCCTGACCATGACTCAAACCCATGACTTCAGAAGACCAACTGAGCTATCCGTCCTGCTACACATTTTCTCTTTAATAATGAAACAGTTCTAAACCACAACATATTTCCCCACTATATCGATTTGTGTTCGTGAATTTCTTATGTTACAGAGCATAGGAAATTGAACTCATGCTTATATGCAGTCATAGGATGAGAAAAACTTTGAGCTTGACCAGAACTCATTAACCTGTGACCAACATAAGAAGAAAATTTTATGAAGGCTGATTTTGTATTTTGCATCAAGGGCACCGGGCAAAAACATGAAAATGCAACAAACAAACCACTTTGTGGTAGATTGTATTTTCATGTTTTTCATCTGGCGCCCAGTTACTTTTTGTACTATGTTGGTTTTCATGTGGCACAAATCACCCACTATAAATTTAGTGCACAAATTTATTCAAGGGCAAGTAACAATCTACTCTATGTTACAGTCTGTTGTCGCGTTGACTCAGAGAGACCTGGAGGTTGAGACCGGTGTCTCTTCATTACAAATAGATAAGACAGAAGCTGTCCTTTTCAAACTATGCACATGTTAGAAAAAAATAGAATAACTATTCAGAATATGATTTTTTGAGACTTTATTAATTATATTGCTTGATCCAAGTTTAAGGACATTTTCAATCAATACATGTTTTATCATTTATAACTTTAAATGAAAGTCTCATCCCTTTAATAATAATGACATAACTGTATCTCTTTAAATGCAGAAAAATTATAAGTCTCAACATATCAATATACTACTGTCTAGAGATATACATGTACATGCACATAACATTAATAATTCCCAGTTTATATTAAATAAATATGAAATCCTAACATTAACATTAACATGCTTTTGATGACCTTACAACTGGTGAATTATATACAACAAAAATAGTATTATAAGTAATACCTAAGATAGACAGAAAAGAACAAATAATTTAGTAAACATAAGTTACTTCCCTTAAAATAAAGAAAACCTGAAACCCAAAAGAACACGATAAACAGCAAAATTATGAAATGTTGCAGGTTCAATTTTATCAAGCCATGCAAATTAATGGTAAAGTATTCATAAAAAAATAGATGGCCATGTGTCAGCAGTAATTGCAGAAAATCGGATAGCTTTCAACATCCGGATACTGGTACACTCTGTAAAAACAACCATTCTGCGCAACAGATAAATGTAATAAGGATAAAATCAATAGGATAATCGTTTACAACAGTTTCATTACCTATCCTTATACTCAATTGCAGGTGAACTTTCTTCTTGTAGGAAAATTTTGAAAATGTATAAATGATACGGCCTCAATCTAGACCACAACGATATTCGAAATCCGGGTTTTAGTATTGTCATTAAAACTAAGGGACAAGCTGTTAAACTTAACCCGCAATTTCGTGAAAATAATATCACAATGCACATGCTTTTTACATAAAGTTATTAAATACAAATATAACAACACATTTGTTTACTTGATTTTTACGAATCAAAATAAAACTAATTTACACAACATGAAATTAACTGCTAATAATAACAGCTCCTTCCATAGGCAAAAATAAAAAGCGTTCCATAATAGACGACGCCGCTCACCGGCGTCGCCAAAAATTGGGAAGGTTGAAGCCATACACCACAAACCGCAATAAAAATCTGGCTTTTCACAACAGGTGTTTAATTACAGATAAATGCTCAAATACTCGGTTACAACTCTCATGAATGAAATTTTTCTAAGAACTGGAACAGTTAACTGTTCCGAGCATAAAAACAGAAGAAGACTTATTGCCAAGATAATCAGCACAGTCATGTTTGAAATTTTTTTGCGGATAATAGTTTAAATTTCATCTTTCAAATAAATTTTTCCATATCTCATGTTAAGCAATTACGATAAATGGAGAAAAAAAATGGAAAAAAGAAATGTTTTCCAGAACTGTTTCTTACATTATAACACAACTTGATTCATAACAAAGATAAAGTCATTATTTTTGGCATACTATACCTTCATGCATTCATCTCTAGAGTAAACTATTTAAACGGTTTAAAATATGTTTTCTCCCCTAAGATATAAAGTAGCTATAGAAAAGAGTTATTAAAGGCATTCTATTATAATAACCAATAAAATTGAATGGTCATAAATATCTTATTACCAATAGTATATAAATTTTAGGGGAATTTCTTGCTACCCAGTTGATTCTTCTCATATCTTATCTATAAGATTATGATATGCGCTAAATATTTCTTGGTTATGCTCTACAAAAATTTTGCTTACATGCAAAATACTATTTTAATTAATCATCAATATTTCTTAATCTACCGATATTCATGTATCTATCTTGAACTTCCATAAAAATACAAAAAAATATGCTTACAGTTGTAAGCAATTCTCTTAAAAGTTTTATATAAGAAGAAAAAGTTTTAATAATCATTTTTTCTTTTATTGTTATTTTTATTTCTTTCAATCACAATATTACTGAAATTGCAGAAAGCACTATATCTTCTGATGAAATTAACTTTTTTGTGTGTGGGTCGGGGGGGGGGGGGGGAAGAGGGTGAATTTGGGTGAGAACAACTGAATCCTGATGCCCAGGAACAAAAAGTGAGATGGTTGGTTGAAGAATAAAATTGAAAGGAACGGATGTTCAGCCAAGATGACATGATAGGAGAATAAATACATGTAGTATGTGGAGATCATACATTTATTTATATATCATTGGTGTAAGATGTTGAATAAGAAAAAAAGTCCTGAATAGTCTAAAGTCTATATTTCTTTTTAAGTTCTATTTCAGAAACTAAATCACAGGTCTATGTTATATAAACAAAATACATAACCTTTGCCCAGTTGAATCTGTTTAACCTTCAGATTATGCCAACATTTATGTGAAAAATATACGAATAATATACAGCTGACTCAATAAATGTTTTTGACAGTTACTGAAAATTGTACCTTAACCTGAACTTTTATTTCCTCATTTACGACTCAAATTTCTATGCTATGAATGAAGATGTATAACTATAAGTTGCAAACAAGAATTTTATGAGACCCCGAGGTAATACAACAATTGCTAAACCTGAGTACTGGTAATAAGTTTTATATTTGTAAATATTTAACATATGTGGGGGAGGGGGGTGGGGGGGAAAGCAGCTATCAGAATATGAAGAGTTTCTGCCCAGAAGAAAGATAAGATAAATAGATACTACATTTGTCTGAGCAGTTAGCTTTCCAGGTATATACTGAACTGTAACTAGCCTTAAACCTTGCAGAGATCATCCACTGCTTAAACTATTCATAACTCTCCAATAGTAATACTATAACCTTTATCACCCTGTATCTCTAAAATAAACTTGTCCATCTTTCATTTTGGACTAAACCATTTAATATTTTTGGGGCAATCTATGTACTGACTGAATAGCATACAGTGCAGACCATATCATCATGACAGCTCTAGTAGCATGAGTAAAATCAGTTGTCAACAGCGATTTATATTTGTAAATAAATTAGTATAAAGTTGCCACTAATTCAGACTTAAAGAATGAATAGCAACAGTGCTGACCACTGGTAGAATCAGTCGTCAACAGTGGGCTATTCTAGCCTATAGATTAATAGATTTTACAATAATATCAAGTTGCCACTAATCTAGAGTGCTATCAGACATAAAAGACCATCAATGGTTAAATCAGTTCCAAACAGTGGGCTATAGGTTAATAGATTTTAATATTCAAACAATTTTTACTAAAAATAGAGTGCGATGTACTGGCTGACTTACTTTAAGTTCTACATACACATGTATTACATCATTGTTCCTCACAATGACACACACACACAATAATAAAACCCATTTTACATAAAATCATAATATACTATTATGATACCACTAAAGAAAACAGTATTTTCCTCTTTATTATCTATATTGACTCTGTGGGTAAAATATTTGTGAAAAACAGGAAGTAAGGGTTTATTTTCTAATTGTGAAGTTCTTTTATATTTCAATCTTTTGTAATTTTGAACCTATTCGCACATGCTGAGACATCTATTGTACTACTTTTGTGGTTTTAACTGAACTATTTGAGGAAAATCACAGTCAATGGCAGTTAGCAATACAGCCTAGTGCTGGTGCGATGAAATAGCTGTGGTAACTTTTGTGTATTGACCGAATTATTAGCACATATCTATAAACGCTCAAGCTGTGAGATTCGATAGTAAATAAATTTACATTTTTTATTAAGATAAAATATTGTACCAGTTCTACAAATTGTATTTCAAGCACTAGAATCAGTATACCCAGACTTGAGCTTATCATTTTACACCACGCATCCTAAACTTGCTAAATTCCTTAAACATAAAATTGATCAGCTTCAATTACCAATTTTGGGGACTTCAAGATGAAAGTTTGAAGTTGACCAGCCACCAGTATAACAAATATGCAGGCTAGCCTAGTAGCTCTATACTGGTTGCACAGTTTCGGCAGCTTATTTTGACAGACATTTAACTGAAGATAATGTATCATCGTATTCATCCTAATATTATTAATCATTTGGCCATCACATCCTTAGTCCCCATCCCCTAATTATACATGTTTAGAAGTTGCAATAAACTTGTGGACATATCAACTTGTCCTGGTTCAGTGGCAACATTAAATGCCTGTCTGTGTAACAAAATTTAAATGCACTTCCGAGAGTACATGGTCAGTGTACAGATAGAAGTAAAAAGAAAATCACATTTTGTTAAAATTGCCTTCAATTTTATATTTTACTCTGCAAAAATGATCAATAACTCATGTGACCTACATATATTTTCTATAAATATCATTCAGAATGATTATGGTAACATTCAATTTTATCTTTTTTTATGTCGGTTTAGTTTTTATATTTTATCCTAAACATTTTTCATTATAAATTATTGGTAAATCTCAATTATAATAGTCAATCTCTTGAAATATACATGTATTTCTAATTCAACGTAAATCGACAGGGAAAACAAGCTTGGATGTTACCAAACAAACAAGCATCATTCTTTAAAACATAATTTTTACTATGACTTTGTGCAACAATTCATATAACAACCTGGAATTTTGTATCTATTCTGAAGCATTTTATGTGGGTAATTAAATTTCAGTAATCAAATAATTAATGGTATATCAAAATGCTTAATTGTTCATTTGTTTAAATAATTATCACGATTTCTCATTTAGAATAAAACACAAAATTCAGCAGAAACAAAAAAATAATCGTAAAAGACAACAAATGCTTTAAAACTGGTATAAAGTCTGCTTTTCCTCTTGGTTACAGAAAGCTTTTTTTTAAACTACAATGCTCCTGGGTGATAGAGATCTACTCTATTTCCTCTAGATGTTTATTTTAGAGCATTTAATGGTGTTCAGAACATGATCTGGTAATTTAGTTTCAAGAATTTCTTTCATTGCTCATGATAAATAAAGTTTTAAATAGTGCATGTTGTGGTTATTAAGACATCCCTGACAGTTCATGAGATATTTAATGTCTTCCAGACGTGCTATCTATGAAGGATTTTTACCTCTATAAAAATCAGTATAGTTAAAATATTTAAATAAACCAAAACCAGTAAGAAATAAAACTTGTGCTTGGTTATATTCTAGAATCACAGAAAATAATCAGATACTGTTCATATTTGCCTTAACTGATTATCTTGACTATTAGTTTAAAGAAAAATGTCCTTTCATAAAATAATTTTAAAGTTTTATCATAAATTAATACAGTGTCCAATGTTTTAATTGCAGTGTACATTATAGAAAAACAAATAAAATATTCAGAAATATAAAGTTTACCAACCTCGGCTAATAAATACTTTTCGTATATAAGTTGAGCTTTGGAAAATCTTTTCTCATCCGGTGACAATTCATACTCACTCTGTAATTGACAAAACAATTAATAACTTATTAAGGTATACAAGATTTTTGTGCATTTTATTAAGTCCAACCTGTCAATACAATGTCACTTGAATTTGATGAAATTTACCCGAGATTTTATATCAATGTTGCATTAACACAATAGCATAGAAAATACAGTATTAACTTCGATTTAGTGTCACCATTGTAGAAATTATACAAATCTCAACTATAGCTGCCACAGAAGAGACAAATACTCCCACCAAATCTCTATAACATGTGCAACACAATTCATCATTATTTTTAACAGAAAACATTTGACATAAATCTGAAAAGTATAGATTTGATAGTGCAGACACAATATGTGAATTTTGACCTTAAAGGGTGACCTTGACCTTGAGCTTGCAAGGTGGCAGCATAGGATTTGTGCATTGCCTTAGATTTAAATAGTGGACACAAAAATGTCTGATATTTGGCCTTCAAGGCTAGACTTGACTTTGAGCCGGCACAGAGATGGCACGAGTTCTGCACATCGCCTTGTTCTGCACATAACACTTTCTGCAAATGCATTTCAATGAAATCAGTCATCCATGATGGATAATTGGCTCTACATGTATCTAATATTATGACTCCATAATTTCATTATCTTCAATTTATTCAGTTATATAAAAACAAAACTAAAAAAACTCAAATAAGTAGCGCTACTTACAATTTCATCTAAAAAGTTAATGGCTCTCTTGAGGTGTGGGGTTTTATCACAGAATGCACGGAATTGTAATCGACCAATCGGCTGCTGTGTTACAATGTATTTATATGTCAAATCTGTAAGAAAAGTACATTCATAATGAATATTAACTTTATATGATATGATGATTATTAATACATGTTATAATACAGGAGAACTTTTGTAAGAAGAAGTTAGTTGAAGGGACTTGCTTAAAATGTTTGAGACATCAGGACTTTGAAGTATCAGACCTAATTTTCTAATAAAATTTTGTCAAACACATGGTGACTTCTATTGAATAATTGGTAAAAACATTTGGTTAGCATTTTTAAAACTTTGTGTTTATACAAGTCTGTATGTAAAAAATATAGGGAGAAAACACAGAGACTCTTATTTTACTTGGAAACATAAAAAAAACAAAGTAGGACACAGGTTTAACTGTAGAAATGATAATAATAACAAATGGAAAATCAACACAAGTTCTACTGTTACTATAATAATAATAATAATAATAATAATAATAATAATAATAATAATAACAAAGTTACAATAATGATTGAAGATAATTTCAGGCATTTTCTCCCTATCACAAGGGGCCGAAATAACGTCTCATTCCCAATCCAAACTAGCCTCTTTTTTTCCTAATCCAAAAAAATACAAACAGCAGCTAAAAATAAATTAAACTGTTTCAACTTTTGAAAAAAATCTCATTGTTTTGACTTGTTTCTTAAAAGTAGTGACAGGTAATATTATTATGCACATGTTAAGAAATCTCAAAAGTCATGTACAAAACTTTCATTAAATTTCTTAATTTTCCTAAAAAATATGAATAATTTTTCCCATTATAATATTATGCCAGGAGCCTTTTCCCAAAATAGCTAGAAAAGGCCCTGAAATAATTATAATGATAACAATATTAACAATTTTATGAAATTACATAATTTATCTAACACTAAAATGTCAAGACCTCATTGTTTTCAAGAATGACAATGAAATAAACAATTGTATATACATGATGTAAAAACAAACTCTTATATGACATAGATTTGAATCTCTTTAAAAAAATATTTTTTAATAAAATAACTTCCTAAATTATCCTTTTAAAGGCATATGACATACTATAAACTAGTTAAATGTAGTACATGTATATACAGACATGAAAGCAATACAGGACAACTCTAAAATAGAATTTATCAAACATTGTATTAATAACAGTACAAATATTTTCAATGAGGAACAAGTTTGTTTTAGAGTTAGCTGCCCTTGAAATGATCTAAAATTAAACAACAAATGCACAAATTCAAGGACAGATAACTCAAAAAAAGCCTTCCCCACCCCCATTTTATTGGATTAACTGTTTATATTAATGCCATCTTCTAAGATTTTGTAAAGTTTAAATAATTACTCTATATACAAATGTAGTTTTCATTCTGAGTATATATATGTCTATAATTATGTAACTAAAGCATACACCTTTAACCTAGTTTTAATGTTATCATAATTATAAAGGTTTCATACATGTAGTGTGCACAGAGGATAACATAATACTGAACAATTGTAACATAGATTTTCAATAGACTATCATGATTTTATGTATCATCTATGCATAATAATTGCTGTATAGTATTGAATGAATTTAAAGTTTTGTTCAAGTCATGAAGTTATTTTAAGTTTGTCATACAAATGTTTGACAGTTTATAATACCATGTACATAATTTTATACAAATGGTTGTTCGCCTTCGGTTATATGAAAATCTGGAATAAGGGAAATCCATCGAGAGCAATGTATTATGAAACACAATAAATGACAAGACATTCCTCACATAAGAAAGAATCCAAAGTCCCTGTTGGGATTCGAACCCACAGACGTAAGAGATTTAAAGTCAATGGCCTTAACCACTCGGCCACAGACGCCCCTCGACAATATAACAGTAAACTAATATAAAGATGATAGGAACATTCCTAAGGACCTCTCTTTTACTATTTGAAACCTAGCATTACCAGTTACAAATTGTTCTTAAATTCCTTCTTGAAGTTTGTAATATCTTGGATTTATAAGTAATAACCATTTAAATGCAATAAACCTGAGATCTCGAAATCTTCCCCAAGGTTTCAAACAAACGTTTTTTACACTGTTTAACATCCCCCCTATAATTTGAAAAGACGGTGAATATTTTCTTTATCTTTGCTAAGCATAAGTATTAAATTTAGATTACATCCCAAGAATCATATCTCTATCAACTGAAGAATGCCAAGAGCTTGTCAGATTCTCTTCTTGAACAGAGATAAGAATTTACCTCCAAAATTTGAACAAAATTTCACGAAAAATTCAATGATTCAACTGTTTCCGACATAACCAATATTTCAACTCGTAAAACTTTTGAAACTTTTAAATACCAGAATATAAGAAAACTGAAATGTTTGTCTAGTACAAACATCTTAAAACATAAACTGATTTTTACTGTCGAAAGATGGCATTGTTCAGATTGTTTTCAATTATTGTATAATCAATTAGCTGCATGTTTTTCGGTTAAGTGCTTGAATAGTATTGCATATAAATATTGAAAATGTAACATTATGAAATATCTACAGAAATATAATATATTATATACCCTGATTCATAAAAAAATAGTCGACAAAACTCAATTGGAAATTACATCAATGTATTCTGTGCACTGAATTATTAATATTCATACAGTTCTGGTCTGAGTGGTGAACATGTGAAATTATCTCACTCAAACACAAACGAATCTCTTCAAATATGTGAAAAATTCACTTACAGAAAATATGAAATACAGATAAAATCATACCATACCGGTAAAAAATCTATAAAGGAAAATGAATAAACATTGTATAAGAAGATAGTTTAGCCTTTTATGAAGCACTAAGGACAAATGCATAGTACCTGTGAACTGTTTTAAAGCAAAAATAATTTTCTGTCGAAATCATTACAATTTTTATAGAGAACAACTTCTGTACTCCAAGTTATACATTGGAAGAATAGTCAGGAATTAGAAGACCAGGACTTTACTGGACTTTATTAAAGCCTCATATATTAAGTGCTTTATATTAATTGCTTTATTAAACAATTTCCTTTTATATGTCATTACATTATGTCACATATGTCTTTACATTATTTCTTAACAATCATACAGTCTATAATTTTGTAAAACACCTTAACATTAATTTATACTTCACAAACTGTGAACATTTTATTTCTATACTATCATACCAAGATTCATTTAACTAAAGGTGAGCAATTCTATGCATTTATATTGTTTAACCTTTAGCCTACTGGCAGCAACTAATATTACTCATGTGACCAGTTTAGACCAAAAATAAGCCAGATCATGGTCTGCACTGTTTACTATTCTGTCAGTACAGATTTTAAAATTGTCTCTAAAAACAAAGTAATGGTCTTGACCATATTGAAGATGGGCAAGTTTATTAAATAAATTTAGCATGGTAAAGATTACAATTATTTCTTACTACTATCTAAAACAGCTTTTATAATATCATTTCCATAAAAATAGAGGCTCATCAACAAATTAATGCACTTATGGGAACGATATCCCATCAAATCAAATCAATATGAAAAGTTAATGAATAAATCTTTGAAAAAAATCAATCAAGCCCACATACTCAATATAACAAGAATTAATCAGGCACGTGAAAAACGCTAATTGGAAAATAAAACTGCCTTTAAAAGTAAAGGAAATCGAAGTGAAAATGTTGTATAAAGAAAAAGGAGTTCCAAGAAATCACTGCAACACTACAGCAGCTCAACGGGCTTATGGAACAAAATATCAGAGTGTTGCGTCGACACGTTATCGATGAGAGGTCCTGATCTTAAAACTCTGAATTAGCACTACGCCAGCCTGAAGCATCATCGGTTACTCGTTCCAGTGCCCATACTATTACAACCTAACAAGCACTCAGAGAACGCTCGCATTTTAATGCTGCACTTATCCTATTTTATGGAGCTATTGATTTTTCCAAATTCCGATATCCAACCACCACATACTGAACTTGATAAGAGAAAATAACCAATGCAGGACATACTTGCGTATGATAATATGAATGGGGGGGGGATCCTAAACAAATCACACAGGGAACAACCATGGTGAAAATGGGTACAGGAGAGCAAGTTGGTCAGAAATGTGCTGTAATGATCGTTTGCCTAGATTTGTCAGTAAATGACGTCAAGTACCATTTATCATATATGTTTGTGCAAATTAACTTCAGCAGAATCAAATCTCCCTGCTCAAGTGATAATTAAGATATATGAATACACTGATTCTGAATAGCATATTTCAAGTATCATTTATGTAACTACATGTATATCGCTCTGTTCACTCCTCTTTTCACAAGCATGCAAGAAATTTTCCCTACCTAACAGTGTTACCTAACAGTGTTACACTGAAAAATAGGATTTCATATTCTAAATTTAAGATAAAGTAAAACAAGATTGCATTTGAGAAAAATGCTATGCCACCGCATGGTTCAAATTTCATAGCTGTACATCAAAGGACAAGAAAGTAGGTCACATCATCAAAATCTAGGTCACCTGATATCAAAGTTCAATTTTACAACTAAAACTGTGCACATTGTCAAAATGTCATTGCTGTACATCAAAGGACAAGAAAGTAGGTCACAGTCCCCTTGGGCAAGGCATAATTTTGACCCAAGGGTTTAATTCAAAACAATTTTGATACAGGTCCACCAAACAACATTTCAAGTCAAATATCTAAGCTATAGCTTTCTCCCATTCAGAAAACATTTGTTTTATTTTCGGTTTTTACTATGTGTACATAATGAGAATCACTGCCCCCCAGGCAGGGCCAATTTTGACACCAGGGGAAAATTTTGAACAACTTTGGTAGAGGACCTATAAATGATATTATATATCAAACATCAAAGCTCTATGCCTTGTACCTTCAGACAAAAATATTCTTTATTTTTTCACTATATGTACATAATGAAAATCAATTTCCCCCGGGGCGGAACCAATTTTGACCCCAGGGCTATAATTTGAACAATCTTGCAAGAGGTTCACTACACAATGTTTCATGCAAAATATCTTAACTCTAGCCTTTGT